AATCGCTACCAGTTTTGACCCTCGCTATCATTGAAACATCACTGAGCAGTTGTTGTCTGGTCGTCATAATGAAGTCAATCTCATTTTTTATCGAACTGTCGGGGCTCAAACAGGGCCACTTTCTGTGGGATCGCTTCTCGAAGAAAGAGTTCATTATAAAGAGTCCCTCTTACTCCATGAACTCAGTCAGCTGCTGACCTCTTGAGTTCTGTTACCCTATTCCGAATTAACGACATACCAACAATCTTTACAACTTTGTTAACGAGAGATTTGTCGACGATAAATCCGACACCTCCTTGGGAAAGATGGTCGCTCTTCCAGTGATATAACAAGTTGCTGGATTCAAGGATTACCATTTTCCCTCTCTTCGGACCTCGGATAATCCTATAATATGCCAGCGTAACTTGTCTATCTCTTCTTCCAGCTCCACAATCTTCTTGTCAGTCCTCAGGGTGCGTGCGTTTTATGTTGTCAGGTCGAGTCGTCTTAGGTGGCCACCGAACCTCCACCAGAGATTCTTATCACCCACTGCCCTGCCGTTACCATGGTTGCCACCGTAGCCAGGAATAGCGGTGGTCAAGTGAGGCAAATTCTCCCTATGACGGAAAAGGTCCATGAGTCGATAAAGAAGAATATATAAATATCGAACATTTGATAACGATAGTGATATAATAGAAAACGTCTCTGCCTACCATCACGTCGATGTCGTAGATACTGTGTGATTCAAATAAGAATAGGACTTATCTGGCATCATATTGTGATGTCATAGGTATCAGTTCAAACCACTCAGGTAATATGAGCAAAACAAATGTTTTAATATTTACTTATCAACAAATACGAAAGTACCATGAAAGAAAAAGTGTTAATCCGAATCTAGCACTTCAATTTCGCTTATCTCTGAATCACTGTTTGAGTAGTCATCATCATCATCATCATACGACGAAGCACACTAACATCGACAAGATAGCAATATAAAGAAACAGATTTCAATTATTCCAATCCCCCCCGCCCCCATCAACGTGGTAGTGGAATTATAAGAGACTACCCCAGGAGGGTACCAGCACCCCTGGAGAATCCCTCGCTGAGCATCCACGACCAAACTACTTCACTCCTGAGCGTGGGTGCTCAGGCTGCCCCGCGTATTCTGCGGAGGGTGGGGGGGGCTAAATTTCGCTAGCGACTAATGCTGCTCGGGGCAAGCGGAGCAATGCAACCAAGGCGACCCCTGTCACGCTATCCGTGAATTTTTGCAACATCAGGGGACTGCATTCCAACCTTAACGCTGTCCATTACCATCTAGAGACGGCGAAGCCGGCCTTGCTCTTTTAACCGAGACTCAGGTGTCCTCTCCGGCTGATACTTCATATCTCTCCTACCCGGGGTACAAATTGCAACACTCCTTTGTGCCCCGGGCTGGAGTTTGCGTATACGTCAGAGAGGACATCTGTTTTCGACGCCTCGGCAGTCTTGAAGGAACGGACCTGTCCATCCTATGGCTGCGCGTAGACAGCGACGACCATCCCCGCGTCTCCGGGTGCCTCTATAGGTCCCATAGCAGTAATGCCGACACAGACCGACTCATCGACCACGTCCAAATGGCTGCAGACTCCGTGCTACAACAGGTCCCATCCGCAGAAATCGTGATACCCGGTGACTTCAACGCCCACCACGCTGAATGGCTTGGTTCTCGTTTAACCGATCATGCGGGTAGATCTGTCTACGACTTTGCTTTGGCATATGGTCTAACACAACTGGTTACTTCGCCTACGCGGATCCCAGATGTGGAAGACCATGTACCTTCCCTGTTGGACCTTCTGCTGACCTCTCATCCGGACGGATATCAGGTCTCCGTCGATGCCCCTCTGGGCTCTTCGGACCATTGTCTGATCCGGAGTACGGTGCCACTCACGCTCCAATCGCAGTCGAGATCTGCAGCTTGCCGCCGTGTTTGGCACTATAGGTCAGCTGATTGGGACGGGATGCGGTCTTTTTTTGCATCCTACCCTTGGGGGCGGGTTTGCTTCTCGCCGGAAGATCCCAGCGTTGTTGCCGATTCTGTTGCTGATGTGGTACTTCAGGGTATGGAACTTTTTATTCCATCCTCTGTGGTGCCCATCGGAGGCAGATCCCAGCCATGGTTTGGTCGCTTCTGTAAAATAGCATCACGCTATAAGCAGGAGTGCTACCGGGCCTGGGCTGACGCATCAACGTCTCGGGATGTAAACACCAGCGCACTTAAAAAGAAGTATAATTCCGCCTCCAGGTCCTTCAAAAGCGTCATTGCCAAGGCAAGGTCTGAGCACATCGGCAGAATTGGCGAGAAACTAGTTCGCCTTCCTTCGGGAAACCGTGCATTCTGGTCTCTCGCCAAGGCTGCCAAGGGAACTTCTGTCAGCCATCTCTTCCATCTCTGCACAGGGAGGACGACTCACTGGCCCATTCCGCAAAGGAGAAAGCCGATCTGTTGAGCTCTCTTTTTGCGTCCAACTCGACTCTAGATGACGAGGGGAATACACCGCCGACCATCCCGCAATGTGAGTGCTCCATGCCGGATGTGCGGTTTACACAGCGCTCGGTTCGCAAAGCACTCTTCTCCCTGGACGTCAGCAAGTCGAGTGGGCCCGATGGAGTCCCTCCCATTGTGCTGAAGACGTGTGCTCCGGTGTTGGCACCGGTTTTAACGCGTCTTTTCCGGTACTCCTACTCCCAAGGCGTAGTCCCGAATTCATGGAGTCTTCCAGCTTTGGTCCACCCGATCCCTAAAAAAGGCGACCGCTCAGACCCGTCCAACTACAGGCCTATTGCCATCACCTCCTTGTTCTCCAAAATAATGGAATCCATTATAAACTGCCAGCTCATGAGGTACCTTGAGGATCACCAGCTGATTAGTGACCGCCAGTACGGTTTTCGTCGAGGTCGATCAGCTGGTGATCTTCTAGTCTATCTGACTCATAGATGGGCGGAGGCAGTAGAGTCCAAGGGGGAGGCATTGGCCGTTAGTTTGGACATAGCGAAGGCCTTCGATCGGGTCTGGCACATAGCGCTTCTTTCGCAGCTTCCTTCCTATGGGCTTCCCGAGAAATTGTGCAAATGGATCTCCAGTTTCCTTGCCGATCGGAGTATCAAGGTCGTAGTAGACGGTGCATGCTCTGATTTCAAGCCTATTAACGCTGGTGTTCCACAAGGCTGCGTGCTATCACCAACGCTGTTTCTCCTGCATATCAATGATATGTTGCTATCTGGTAGCATTCATTGCTATGCGGACGACAGCACTGGTGATGCCTTATATACCGGCCGTGCCAATATTTCTCGGGAAAACGTCGCTGAGTGCCGGGACAAACTTGTGTCTGAAGTCGAGTCTTTGCTTAACAAAGTCTCGGATTGGGGCCGACTAAATCTAGTCCAGTTCAATCCCCAGAAGACACAAGTTTGCGCGTTTACCGCTAAAAAGAACCCCTTTGTCGTATCTCCTCAGTTTCAAGGCACTCCCCTTGCTGCCTCAGCTAGTATCGGAATCCTTGGCGTCGACATATCGAATAGTGTGCAGTTTCGTGGTCATTTGGAAGCGAAGGCCAAATTGGCCTCTAAAAAGCTTGGCGTGCTCAGCAGAGCGAGACAGTATTTCATGCCGGCACATCGCTTGCAACTCTACAAAGCGCAAGTTCGGCCCCACATGGAATACTGTTCTCATCTCTGGGCCGGGGCACCCCAGTGCCAGTTCCTTCCACTTGACCGCATCCAGCGCAGAGCGGTTCGAATCGTCGACGACCGAGTTCTTTCTGATCGGCTCGATACACTGGCACTGCGTAGAGATGTGGCATCTCTTTGCGTATTTTATCGCATCTATCACGGGGAGTGCTCTGAGGAATTGTTCGGACTAATTCCAGCCGCTCAATTTCACCATCGCACATCGCGACAAAACTTGCGTTACCATCCATACCATCTGGATGATTGACGGTCCAGCACTGTGCGATTTAGAAGAAGTTTTCTCCCTCGCACAACTTCCTTGTGGAATCAATTACCAACAGCGAATTTTCCGGACCGATACGACTTAGGAACCTTCAAGAAAAGAGTTTACACCTTTCTAAAAGGCCGGCAACGCATCTGCAATTCCCCTGGCGTTACAGTTGTTTATGGGCGGCGGTAGTCACTTACCATCAGGTGAGCCGCATGCTCGTTTGCCCCCTCTTCTATAAAAAAAAAAGATTTGGTAATACTAAAACTCTGTTAAGTAAATATAAAAGACGAAAATTAATTTATGGCAAGTCGTACTTTTTAAGTAATAATAGACAGATCACAGTTATTTGAGGTCATTAACGATCATATTCTTATTTGAATAGAATTGTAGTTAATTGGACTTAGAGAAAGTCACTTAAGATCTGGTGAACTCCAATAGATGACATTCTCAAGATCTTGTATTCATAATAGATTAAAAAAAATAATAAACTAAAGTAGCGTCAATAGAGTTTTACGAGATTATCATAAAAGATTTAATTACCAATTTTATTTTGGGGGTAAGTTTTTTTTAGTAATATATTTTTTAAAGTATTTAAAGTATAGCTTTTATGTATCAGTGCTCAGCAGTATCCCGAGTGAAAGTGAATTTTCTGATGTCTTAAAAAGTAACCACGAGCGACGCCAAGTAAATCTTACAGTTGCTTAAAGATGAAAACCAGCGATGGATAGTCCCAAAAGTGGTGCTTTGATGGTATTTCCACGAACATTGGTATTTCGACCCTGTCCGCCTGTCAACAATTATACAAAACTTAGAGGGCAAAAGAACACAAGGCTTACCTCTCGCTAGAAAAGACCTACTAAAATAAACCACACAACTTCAACTGTAGGCGGCGCTATGCATCGCTAGGGACAAACTCAAAAGAAGAGTATTTGTATCCTATTTTTGCACGCCGTAACGAATACTATCATCAGCATTGCGGAAACAACTAGATTGGGAATAATGAATGTCAATTTTAATAGTAAAAAAATTTTTCTTATTTCAGATTCATTCGATACTTCTTTTTGCCATTATGTATTACTCCACACGGAATGTTTTTAAAGTTTTGGTCTACTGTGCGTTTAATTCTGGCGGCTTATTATATTTTAACAGTGCCTTATAACATTGCCGTAAGTTAACTTACAAAAATAATAGAAAAAAATTGAAAATAAATACATGAAATGAAATCCTAAATTTTGTTTTAGACGAAACAACACAAACATGGACATACTTACAGCTGGCCGGACATATTCCTATATTTTGATGTTATTATAATGGCTTATGTCGCATACTACGATGATCGTTCCTTGCTCGTCACTCATCCACTACTTACAGTAACACGATATATAAAACATGCATTTGTACTGGACCTAATCAGTATATTACCTCTCGAACAATTGGTAAGAAAAATTACAGTACAAAAACATTATCATATTTTTATTATGATTAATTTTAAGTGAATATTTTATTTAACAGTCCCACATAACTAATGAATACGGTAATGCGGATATGTATAGGGTGAATCGCCTGCTTCTAGTAAGTTTAATAATTTACCTATTGCTCATAAGTTAAAAAAGATTTATTGAGTGAATTGCCTTTTAACATTATTGTATATTCAGGTAACAAGAATATTAGGAGCTTTTTCGTACTGGGAAAATAACATTATGCAAATTAGTCAAGCTGTTGTTTTATTCAAATTCTTGCCGATCGCTATAACGCTGGTTAATTTCTCAACTGCTTTTATTTTCAACTATTCTTGTGAGCCGTATATGGACTGTAGCTATAATTACGTTTTAGTTAATTGTTCCAGAACATTTATAGTATCTGGCGATAAATATGGAGTGAAATGTAAGTAGACAAACCTACTTAAACTGTTTATTTATTCACTACTATTGAGAATTTAATGAATTTAAGCAATTTCTAATGTTAATATTTTACGTAGACTTTAGCGTAACTTAGCTTTATTTAATAAGGTTTAATATTAAATTATTATACTTATACATACGTGACTAAACAGCTTTAAAACATCTGCGCTTAACGGTTGACCACAGTTGTTTTACGATTAAAGATTAATGAGAACGAGTAAAATAACGTGCTAGTGCGAGTAGGAATTCCGCCTTAGTCCCCTAAAGTAATATCGTACCTGTAACCTACTTTATTTGGAGTTAATTTCAAGTATTAATCCGCTGCAGTAGCCACTTACCATCAAGGTTATTGTAAGTGTATTTGTCACATTAATTTCATATGTAACTTTGTTAGTGTAAAAAATTAAAATTGTATAATACATTCTGTATCTAGACATGTGAGATAATACTACACTTACATTAATACATACGTACACATACCCATTACCACACACGCACGCACGCATGCACGCACGAGTTTGGACTTGTAAGTAAGATGAGTTTACATGCCCTAACAAAAAAAACTAACTGGTTTTTTTTTGTTGTATATGTATGTATAAAAGTGTAAATAATTAAAACATCTTAAAATATGTTCTAAATACATACCTTGAAAATGTTTTGTAATCATTTTCAGAGAATTAATTTAAATAATAAAACTGCAAAAAAATAAAATAAAATTTAGTTGATCAGGGGAAATTTTCATGACTATACTCGTACATCCGCTGTGGGCGCCGTTGGGTAACAATACACTACGCGTAACTACCGCCTAACGCTTGTGAGATTCGTTAATTGTTATCCATTAAGAGTACTGCAATGTTCGTTGTCGGGTTTCCTATCTACCGCCTTTTATGCCCAGAATGTGCACTCGTGTGTTAAATCGGGGTTGACACCAGTTCGCAAAACTCATTACCAACCACACCGCTATATCTCGTGTGATCTCTTCCGTCTTCGTTTGGTTTAGTTATTGAACTATACAAGAAAACAGCAAAGTGTATAGATATTTGCAATAATGCTATATTTTGCAAAAATCTGTGAAAGTTGTGTCTATTGTGGTATAGTATATGCACGTTGGTTGGATGACAACCGTCATCCAACCAATGTCCAACGTAGCCCCTGGAGACACGCGGCAACTAAGCGTAAGTCCAGGTGATTGCATATGCCTCCTATAGTGCGAATTTGGGGACATTTGCAGTATCGCGAAATAGTATATTTTCATCGCCATACAGTCCATAATCTATGTAAAATCATCCTTTTGCATCATTCAAAAAGCAGTTGGTTATTTAAACCATCAAGAAATTTTAACCCGCGAAATAATATTCCTCCTCCAGGCCAGGATAATTTATTTTATCCACCAAACACACAAGATCACACAAGATATTAAAAATGTACTAAATTTTAAGCAAATTTGGGTAAAAAACGAATATTTTAAATTACAATTACATTTTTATATTCATAATTTTTTTTCCGTGTAGTGGCGGTGTGTATATATCCACTACCCCATATCATCCCGTGGGTGTCGTAGGAGGCGACAGAGGGAAGCACATCAGCAGATGGGCTTCCTAATAACGATTAAAAATAAACCGCGGTTGCCAACCCGCTTTCCAAGCTGGCAAATATAGCAAATATTGTCCCTATGAGGCAATCTATGCAGGTTCAGGCAGTGAACTTTTATATGCTGTGACGGGTTTTTTAGCGCCATTACAGCTCTTGTGTGCTTCTTTCGGATCGGTTTTTACATATTATGCACAATATAAATAATACATAAGAACTGCTTCAGCATTTTAAGTTTCGCGATCTAATATCCACCATCATCATTGTCGAAAGCTTAGCCAAGCTGCCGTGTGCCGGTCGTAAATAGGGCCTCTGGCAGTCTTGAAAAAAAAATAGTTTATAAAAAAATCTACGAGATGTTTTATTTTTACTAACATTACATTTGATTTGATTTCATTTATTGCAGATGCTATAACAGAATACTTTTTTACCTTTTACTGGGTGTTTGAACTATTTCTTGGTAAGAAATATATTCAGAAATCTAAAAAAATAACCATTCAAATACATATTTTATATTATACAAATATTAGATATTTTTATAGTAACGGGTTTTACAAATCTTAAGAATTTTACTGTAAATTTAATAGGCTGCGGATGTACTAAAATATTACCATCAAGCAAAGCCGATGTTTGGTTGACAATAATGATACAAATAGCAGGCTTTCTTTACTTTGCATTTATGTTTGGATACGTAGCATCGACACGTTCAGCTGCTTCGCATGCCTTACTAGAACACACCGTGAGTAAATACACCGTCCATAAACAGTGCTCTTAGGAATTCATGATAAGTTTCATAGATCGAAGTAACTTTATATAGCCGCAAACCAGCCAAACCAGCGTATTAGACACGTGGTAGAGCCATGTTGCAGTTTTAGCTCGAATGGGTCGGCTCGACCGGGCAGGGACCACCATCTTACAGAATACTAGCGTAATACAGCAGCTCAATACTACTGCGTTTTGTATGGTGAGTGTAGAAAACCGAAGATCCTTTTTAATGGATACGAGGCCCTCCATCTTAGTTCTAAAGGGTGACAACGCATTTGAGTTTTGATTCTTAATCAAGGATAGATATAGATGTCTACGGGCCATAGCATACACTTTCCATCAGGTGTGTTTTGTGCTCGCTTGTCATCCTTATTCAATATTAAAATCTCCTATGGTTGATCTATACTCATAACACTTCAATTTCATAAGTCTATGTTACCTAGTTTAGGGCTTACCGTGAGGGGTGGCGATACATCAAGTATTTCTTTTATGCCAAATGTAGAATATCCACACCGGCGACGGGCAGCAGCGTCCAACGCGCGAGATGTCTTATACTGCAATCGCCTGCCAAACGTAACGTTCAAGACATATATCCCCTGCAACGGAAAGGGCCTATATCCAGCAGTAGACATTTACCTGGCTAGTGAATAATAACTTCCTAAAGAAGTATAGTTGTAGCACGAATGGGTCAGCTCGACCGGGGAAGGACCACGCTCTCACAGAATACGTGCGTAAACTAGCAGCTTAACTCTGCTGTGTTTCGTATGGTGAGTGTAGAGAACCGGAGACCCTTTGTACTGGAAAAGAGGCATTCCACCTTAGTCCTCAGGGGTGACAACGCATATGCATTTTTATTCGTAATCGAGGATAGATGCAGATGTCTATGGGCCACAGCAACCACTTACCATCAGGTGGACTGTGTGCACGTTTGTCACCCTATCCTATAAAAAAAGCCAAAAGTATTACACGTATCGCATAAAGGTTGGTTAAAGAAAAATATGATTGAGTAACCGCCAGTTTTCCAACATATAACCATTTGTTTATTCGTTCGGTTATTTATTAAATGACTGATCATTATAAATTGCCACAAAGGAAGGAGATTTGCCATAGTTGCCACGCTTGACAGGCAGTGTGACAACTTTATTAGTTGTTATTAGGGATCTGCTACTGACCACCTCATATTTCTATTTCACTCTGTCGCCATTTACGATACCCACGGAAGGTAGATTCTCTTTCGCCGACACTACAAAACAACTGTAACAACTATTTACCATACAGTAACTACTAACTGTGCGCAATCTATGCATCGATTCCGTTCCAAACGTAAATCTAAGTTTAAAGAAATAAAATACGTAATAATATGTCTTTCATTTCAGGAACAAACGAAAGATTTAACTAACTTTCTATATCAGCAGGACGTAGATCCTTTACTCATTATGAAAACTCTAAAATATTTTGAATACGTTTGGAAAAGAACAAACGGTAGTAACCCGCAGGTGGCAATACTTGTATTTCGTATAAATCTTAAATTAAATAGCGATAAAACATACAAAATAATTCCCCTTATTATTTGTTAATGAATACAGGAAATTTGTCGTGGTTTGAACTCTGCTTTGATGGAAGACACTCTGGTTTTTATGTACGAGAGAGCTTTGAGGGAAGTGCCGCTATTCGGCAGAGTAGAAAGATCATTTATCAGAGTCATCACACAACACCTCCATGAAATGTACTTTCTTAAAGGAGACACCGTTGTTCAATGCAAAGACATTCAAACTGATATTTACATTATTTACAGAGGAAAGGTGTGTTTAAAGTAGTTTTTAGTAAACATTACTATTGCTGCAATAACGTAAATAAGTAAAATTTTATTTATACAACTATCCCATAGCTAACAAAATAGAAAATGCAACAACGCATATTTTGCCACATGATAAAAAATCGAATTTTTACTTTACTTAATCACGTCTTCTTTTAGGTGGACGTACTCAGTACGTATAACGAAATGGTTACTTGTATGGGACCTGGTGGAATGTTCGGAAATTTTACAGGAGTAATTTTTTACACTATTCTGGTCTGTTGAAACGTAAATAACATTTTAACTTGATACGTAAAAATTATTTTTCAGCAACCCACTTCAAGTTCAGAAGTAGCCATATACGCCAGCAGAAGTTTAGATTTGTTAGTAATACCAAGTCAAACCTTTTTCAATCTTGTCAAATACTATCCTAAGATACAAGAACCACTTAAAAAAGCTTTCGAAGTATCGAATGATTACATTTTACCGATTACAATCGATATCGATAGCGACGATGAGTCGACAGGTATGCTCGGAATATTTACTTCCGTGTGTTGTCGTGTGAGCCTTTATTGATTATTATCAGAGCTAGTTTAACATTACACATTAATCATTAATATTACAGACGATTCCGACGTTGATTTGCAATCACAAGATTCTGGCGTAGATTCCAAAAGTGGTTCTAGTCGATTAGAAATACCTGGTAAGTGTTGCTCTCCCTTACAAAACGTAAATTTACTTTATTCATAATCCTACAGAATGTTTTATTGTCACAGTCGGACAGTTATCGCTTCATAGTTCGCATTCTAGTATAAGTCAATCCAAATCTGGAGCAAGTGTTACGAGTTATCAGAGTTACATGCACATATCGAATTTACTTAGACCTGGAACACTGTTATTTCAAGTAAGTTACACTATTTCACCATTTATCTTTTGTACTTCCACCGATCCATCCACGATATTTTATCAAGGTCTACTGAACATAGGCCTCTCCATAGATTGCCTCATTACGGGGGCATTTGCCATAGTAGCTTTTTTATATTTTTTTTTATAGAAGACGGGGCAATATAGCTGCACTTGGCAGGCGGGTTGGCGACCACAATTTTTTATTTTCTAGTTGTTATTAAGAAGACGCTGCTACCAATCTGATTTGTTTCTCTCCGTAACATCGTAAGACACTATAGAGACGGTACAGGGTAGTGGATAATATTCTTATGCCGCCACTAAAGACTTATAGGTTATAAAGTTGATGATGATGACGATGATGAAAGATTATTATCTTACCCAGCGAACATTCTACAGACTGTTCATATCCAATACAAACAAAATAATTTTTCCTCTTAAAGATATTACTGGATTGTTACGAAATTTATCTAACAAAGAGGTTTCGTATTACTGAGACATTTTGATTGACTTTAAATGAATATTAAGAGGATCGTTAGTATTATCAATATCCACCATTTACAATTAAGTTAAGAAATAAAATGTGTTCATCACTTACTTCAAGTCCACCGTTAGGCAAGAGGCTCTTCCATTGGGAAGAATTTATCTTAATCGACACGCTTGACAAGCGGTTTTGCAGCCGTAACAGCAGACATCTCGCATCTTTGAGATTTTAAATATCATGTTACATGTCAGCCCACTAGATGGACCTGGTAAGACATGGAGGTAGTCAATGGATGCAGGTGGCTCAGGGCCGTGCTTTGCTTGGAGGCCTTTGTGCAGTAGTAGACTTGTGTAGGGCTGTAATGATAATAATGATGATGATGATATCATGTTACCTTATTCTCCCTGAAACGTAACAGGTTTTATTATATACTCGTATGATAGATAAAATAGACTAAGAGATAATTTATTTCAAGCCTCTAGTAGTCATTTTTGGCCTGCATTGGTACACTGTACACAGTAAACTGGCGCATTCCCAATGAAGAGATTCGAGGATATTTGGGTAGTGAGATAAATAAAAATAAACATCAACATTTCAATGTTAGAAAACTTTGTTCTCGCTGGTTATTCTCATCCCAGGACAAAAACGGACTTGTTTTGATTGGTTTTAAAAATGTTGTGAAAGTATAACAACGGACGTTAAATGCTGTGTATGACATTGTGACAAGAGATGAAACTTGGATATAAGTATTGTTACATTCTGAAAAGAAAGCAACAATATGGCGTTCAAAGGCGGCAGCAAACTCACAAAACAAAGAGCGTGGATAAAAAATGTATTTTTTTTCTCCCAGACGGGTTCTGTTTACACGATCCCACTTGATAAGCAAAAGAAAATTAATGATGAATGATACACCACCATTTATTTAACCAGTGTCTTTAAAATGTTAGGAAAAAATGGCCAAGAAGTCTCAACCTATTACAACCATAACAACGCTTTGGCGCAAACCGCAAACAAAACAGTCATTTTTAGCTTTCGCAAAGATGGAACTCGTGACCTATCCCACCATGTTTCTTTATTTTCCCAAAAATCAAAGATTTGATGAGAGGTTTGACATTTACAGATCCAGATGAGGTCATGATAGCTTTCAACCAGCACGTTTGAAAACGTTGAAAATACCAGATTTTAATGCCCTCGACAAATGGTTCTTTTGTTATCAAAAATTGTTTGAATGGATGAAAGTGTTTAAAATGTATTGGAGAATACTTTGAAAAGCAGTAGCAAATATTATATATTATATTATACTATATATAAATATATATAAAATATCATGGTAATTATATACAACCAGTGCGTGTTGCCAGTGATGACCTATAGAACTGAGACGTGGTCCTTCACTGCTGGCCGGATGAGGAAGCTCAAGGTTGCTCAGCGAGCTATGGAGAGGTTATTCTCGGGGTTTCTCTGCGTGATAAACTTAGGAATGAGGATATCCGCAGTAGAACCAGAGTGACTGACATAGCCCAACGGATTAGTAAGCTGAAGTGACAATGGGCCGGCCATATAGCTCGAAGAACCGACAACCGATGGGAAAAAAAGATTCTCGAGTGGCGGCCTCGTACCAGCGGACGAAGTGTAGGGCGTCCCCCCACTAGATGGAGTGACGACCTGGTAAGACATGCAGGAAGTCGATGGATGCAGGTGGCTCAGGACCGTGTTTTGTGGCATTCCATGGGGGAGGCCTATGTTCAGCAGTGGACTTGTGAAGGGCTGTAATGATGATGATGTATTATATTACTAATAAATATTAGTTTATATATAAATTATTTTATTTATGAGTTATGCAAAACTTTCAGTGTACCCCCATGTAAAACTAATTTTAGTGTACAAAAACACACAATAACATCTTTCTTTTCTTTTAGGGCATAGGATATCTTACATGTCTTGTGGTTACGGCTAATTATGTATTGATACTATACGAACTCATAACTCTGAATGACTGTAAAGTGATATTTTGGTTGCAGTCATTTTTTGATATATATTCATATATCAAGACTTACACGTATATACATCAGGTTTGATAAACATTTATTAGTTTTAGTTACAGAAAGGTATTTCTAGAGTAACTGATTTATTATCCTAGTATTTCTTACATCAAGTTTAATTGTTTCGCCAATAATATATAAACTAAGTGTAGATATTAGCATACAATTTAAAAATTGTAGTTATGAGTTTGAAAATCCCAAATCCAACATATGTCACACTTTATGAGGTATATCGAGTTCATTTTCACTGTTTTAAAATGAGACCACTGTATGTGCTCGTACCTTAGTGAACATATTTCATATTGCATATCTCGAGATGAAATTGCGACATCTTCTCCAAATGATATAAATTAATTTAACGCTCATGTCCTTTTTTTATTCTTATAAATGCAAGTTTTCTCATGATGATTTCCTTTACTGCCGAGGACGTGATAAATCAGCACTTGAAATGTCATACAACAATTTCATTGGTGAGATCGGAAATCGTACTCTGTACCCTTCCATGGATACTTTTTTTATAGGAGAGGGGGCAAACGAGCGTGCGGCTCACCTGATGATAACTACCTCCGCCTATGAACAACTGCAACACCAGTGGAATTGCAGATGCGTTACGGCCTTTTAAAAAGGAGGCTCTTTTCTTGAAGGTCCAAGTCGTATCGGTCCGGAAAAATCGCTGGTGGTAATCCATTATACAAAGAAGTTGTTCGAGGAATAAAACATCTTCTAAATCGCACAGTGGTGGGCCGCCAATCATCCAGATGTTATGGATGGTATCTCAAGATATGTCGCGATGTGTGTTGGTGAAATTAAGCGGCTGAAATTAGTCCGAAGAATTCCTCATAGCATTCCCCGTGATAGATGCGATAAAATACGCAAAGAGATGCAACATCTCTTTGCAGCGCCAGTGAATCGAGCCGATCAGAAAAGACTTGGTCGTCGACGATTCGAGCCGTTCTGCGCTGGATGCGGTCAAGTGGAAGGAGCTGACATTGGGGTGCCCCAGCCCAGAGATGGGAACAGTATTCCACGTGAGGCTGAACTTGCGCCTTGTATAGTTGCAGACGGTGTGTCGGCATGACATACTGTCCCGCTCTGCTGAGCACGCCAAGCTTTTTAGAGGCCAATTTGGCCTTCTCTTACAAGTGACCACGAAAATGCACGTCACTCGATATATCGACACCGAGGATTCCGATACTGGATGAGGCAATAAGAAGAATGCCTTGAAACTGAGGAGATACGACGAAGCGTTTTTTTAGCGGTAAACGCTCAAACTTGTCTTCTGAGGATTAAACTGGCCTAGATTTAGTCGCCCTCAATCCGAGACTTTGTTCAACAAAGTCTCGACTTCAGACACACGTTTGTTTCGGTACTCGGCAACGTTTTCCCAATAAATATTGGCACGGTCGGTGTATAGAGCATCACCAGTGCTGTCATCCGTATAACAGTGAAAGGTCGGCTTTCTCTTTCCTCACTGTGCAGAAATAGTAGTAATGGCTTACGGAAATTCCCTTAAAAACCAATTCTGTCAGTGTGCTCATACTTTACCTTGGCAATTACTCTTTTGAAGGACTTGGAGACGAAGTTATATTTCTTTTTAAGCATGCTGGTGTTTACATCCCGAGCCGCCGAAGCCTCAGCCCAGGCCTGATAACACTCCTGCTTATTACGTAATGCAGTCTTACAGGAACGACCAAGCCAAGGCTGAGATCTACCTTCGATTGGTATCACAGATGATGGAATAAATAGTTCCAATCCCTGATGCACCACATCAGTGACAGCGTCAGCAAAAGCGCTGGGAACATCCGGCAAAAAGCAAACCCATGGGTAGGATGAAAAGAAAGGCCGCATTCCGTCCCAATCCGCTGACTTATAATGCCAAACACGGCGGCAACCTGCAGAACGCAACCGCAAGGGCAGAGTGAGTGGCACCAAACTTCGAATCAGACAATAGTCCGAAGAGCCGAGAGGGGTATCGACAGAAACATGATATCCGTCCGGATGAGAGGTCAGCAGAAGGCAAACAGGGAATATGTATGATCTTCCACATCTGGAATCCGCGTAGTCGAAGTAACCACTTGTGTCAGACCATATGCCAAGGCAACGTCATAAACAGATCTCCTCGCATGATTGAGTAAACATGAACCGAGCCATTCAGTGTGGTGGGCGTTAATATCGGTCAAGTATCACGATCTCTCCGGACGGGATCAGTCGTAGCAAGAAATCTCTAGCCATTTAGACGTGGTCAATGAGTTGGTCGGATATCATACTCGTAAGAGTTGACTAAATATCTATAAAGAAATGTTTTGTTTTATATATTTTAATGGATTATAATATCGGCAGTAGTATTTTTAGTTATTTTATTATATTCAGTTATTTAGTATATTTAGTTTATATAGTTACGTGAAGTGTTAATTCTTTATCTTACGATGACTTAAAATGAAACTTACTATATAAATAGTTATCATGAAAACAAAACGTTTTTAATAGTGTTCCTAACGTTCACTTATACGACTCTAGAAGATTCCTACGTATCCTATGTACCTAACGCCTAGGCTTAGTTCGGTGGTAGGTTGAAATGCAGTGTCAGAAATATAGGGCAATCCCACCAGTTATGTACTTGACAACTAGGTTACGCAGTAGGCGAAAGTTGTAAATAAGAAAATATTTTATCATTTTGTTACACTATTGGTAATATGTGTATTTTCATTATCAGGGATATTTAAATAAACATGGAGAACTGATACTTAATCTCTCCAAATGTAGAAAGAGATATTTCAAGCACAAGCTGTGGGTTTGGACGGACATATTTGCTAACTTTCCACTGGAATTGTTCGGTTTTTGTTTCGCGTAAGTTAAATCATTTCACTAGAAAGTCAAGTTTAAATTCAATAATTATTATATATTTATTAAATATTTAAAATTTTGTACTAAAAAAAAAAACTAAAAAGCTTTAATAATTCTGACAAATTCACTACCCAAATCTTCTTACCACCTTAATATTATTTAAATTTCCAGGACACCGATGAAAGCTATGCACTACTTACGCGCTATTAAGATTCTTCGACTCAAACACATTTACGACTTCTATTGCAAGACAGCCGCTGAATTAACTAATAACCTCACAACTCTACAAGTATTTTGTTCAGAATATCTTTTTCATAATTTTTTATAAACCAAATACTCTAAAATGTAATTCATAACTTAACATTGCAATTACAGAGAATTTTTGATACCTGCCATCGAACTCAAACTCTCTCACTCCTAACGTATATTATGATAATCTTATATTGTGTTTCATTTTCAGGCGGTAACGACAACACTTTTGATTGTTTTGTTCATACACACATTCACGTGTATTTGGTTAACAACAGTAGTTGCTAATTCGCCCATTAATTTTCTTCGAACTCTTAAAATGCATCTGATCGACGAGTAAGTAAAAACTTTTTAAATTAATAATAACCTTGTTTGATCACGCTTTTTTGAAATTAATAACCTGCTTTGATAAAACTTTTTCAATAAAGTAAATCTAGCTACTGTGTTGTCGTGCGTAGACGGCTCGGCTTTATTATTTAATTATTTGCACTTCAGAATTTTTTAAACGAAATAAAAAAGTCAGTTTTAGCATTTGTTCTCTAGATTTGGGATAATTAGAAGATATGAAATACTAGCATTTTTACGTGGTTATGCACACGTAGACTTCTTAAGTAACTTTAACACCATTAGTGTTCGATGCCGAAATTCGATATCACGCTATTCTCAAGGACTAAATAGTAATACGTAGGTGCATTACGTAAAAAAGTCGTGAGTGCATTCGAAGTAAAACTCACCACCACTGCGCCACCTGCCCGAAACGTTAGGACATTGTCAAACTAGCTAATATGTATAATATCTTTCTTTATGTTATTACGTGAAGGGAAAACTTTGTACCCCTTTTCAAGCATATTGCGCGCACGTAAGGTCTGGCATAGTTAAAGTTATTATGCCGAAGGATTGCAAAATGCTAAAAATTATATGTAGTATGATGTGTTCCAAAATTAACAGTGTTGGAGCCACGCAGCAGCTTTTGCTGTCGCACGGACGGGCCGGCTCGAACCTCCTCACAGAATACCAGCGTGAAGTAGAAGTGTAATTCTGCATTTCGCCTGGTGAGTGCAGATGGCCGGAGGCCCAATCCCGCCCTCCGCTCCATCAACATTGTAGTGGAATTAAAATGAACACTACCCCAGGAAGGTACCAGCATCCCTGGAGAATCCCTCACTGGGCATCCACGCCCAAGTTACCCTACTTTTTCTGAGCGGGGGTGCTCAGGCTGCCCCACGTATTCTGGGGGGGGGGGGCGAGGCGCTGGAGATGGAAAAGCCGGCCTTGCTCTTTCTAACCGAGACACAGGTGTCCTCTCCGGCTCATACTTCGTATCTCTCCTACCCGAGGTACAAATTCGACTTTCACTCCTTTGTGCCCCGGGCTGGATTTTGCGTGTAAGTCAGAAAGGACATAAGTTTTCGACCTGTCCATCAAGGTACGGACCTGTCCATCCTATGGCTGCGCCTAGACAGCGACGACCATCCCCGCATCTACGGGTGCCTCTATAGGTTCCATAGCGGTAATGCCGACACAGACCGACTCATCGATCACGTTCAAATTGCTGCAGACTCCGTGCTACAACAGGTCCCATTCGCAGAGATCGTGATACTCGGTGATTTTAACGCCCACCACCATTTGGTTCCCGTTTAACCGATCATGCGGGTAGATCTGTCTATGACTTTGCCTTGGCATATGGTCTAACACAACTGGTTACTTCGCCTACGCGGATCCCAGATGTGAAGGATCATGTACCTTCACTGTTGGACCTTCTGCTGAACTCTCATCCGGATGGATATCAGGTCTCCGTCGATGCTCCTCTGGGCTCTTCGGACCACTTTCGTTGCTACTCACGCTCCTATCGCAGTTACGATCTGCAGCTTGCCGCTGTAATTAGCACTATAGGTCAGCCGATTGGGATGGGATGCGGTCTTTTTTTGCATCCTATCGTTGAGAGCGGGTTTGCTTCTCGCCGGATGATCCCAACGTTGTTGCTGATTCTGTGGCTGATGTGGTACTTCAGGGAATGGAATTATTTATTCCATCGTTTGTGATGTCTATCGGAGGCAGAAATCAGCCATGGCTTAGTCACTCCTGTAAGATTGCATCACGTTATAAGCAGGAGTGCTACCGAGCCTGGGCTGATGCATCAATGTCCCGGGATTTAAGCACCAATTATAGGGTGACAAACGAGCACACAGCCCACTTCATAGTAAGTGGTTACTGTGACCCATAGACATCTATATCTATCCTCAATAAAGATGCAGATGCGTTATCACCCGTGAGGACCAAGATGGAATGCCTTTTTGCCAGTAAAAGCGATCTCCGGTTCTCTACACCCACCATACGAAACACAGCAGCTATTTAAGCAGTTATTTTTAAGCTGCTATTTTACGCTGGTTTTCTGTGAGAGCGTGGTCCTTCCCCGGTCGAGCCGACCCACTCGTGCTACAACCATACTACTAATACAGCTGCAGCATGGCTCTACCACGCAAGTGTCAAAGGTCCTTCAAAAGTGTCATTGCCACGGCAAAGTCAGAGCACATTTGGCAGAATTGGCGAGGAACAAGTTCGCCTCCATTCGGGAACACGTACATTCTGGTCTCTCGCCAAGGCTGTCCAAGGGAACTTCTGTCAGCCATCCCTGCCATCTCTGCACAGGGTGGACGACTCACTGGTCCATGGTGCAAAGGAGAAAGCCGATCTGCTAGGTTCACTTTTTGCTTCCAACTCGACTCTAGGTGACAAAGGGACACACACCTCCGATCAACCCGCAGTGTGAGTGCTCCATGCAGGAAGTGCTGTTTATACAGCGCTCGGTGCGTAAAGTACTCTTCTCCCTCCCTGGACGTCAACAAATCGAGTGGGCCTGATGTAGTCCCACCAATTTTGCTGAAGACGTGTGCCCCAGAGTTGGCACCGGTCTTAACGCGTCTTTGCCGGTACTCCTTCTTCCTAAGCATAGTCCCGAACTCATGGAAGACAGCTTTGATGCACCCGATCCCTAAAAAGGCGACCGCTAAAATCCATCCAACTACAGGCCTATCGCTATCACCGCCTTGTTCTTCAAAGTAATGGAAACGATTATTAACAGCCAGCACATGCGGTACCTTGAGGATCACCAGCTGATTAGTAACCACCAGTACGGTTTCCGTCGAGGTCGCTCATTAGGTGATCTTCTAGGTTACCTAACTTATAGTAGGCGGAGGCAGTGGAGTCCAAGGGGGACGTATTGGCCGTTAGTTTTGACATAGCGAAGGCTTACGATCGGGTTTGACACAAAGCGCTTCTTTTGAAGCTGCCTTCCTATAGGCTTCCCGAGAAATTGTGCGATTGGATCACAAGTTTTCTTGCAGAACGGAGCATCAAGGTCGTAGTAAACGGTGCATGCTCCGATTACAAGCCCATTAACGCTAGTGTTCTACAAGGCTGCGTGCTATCACCAACGCTGTTTCTTCTGCATATCAATGATATGTTGCAAACCAGTAACATTCATTGTTATGCAGATGACAGCACTGGTGATGCTTTATACACCGGCCGTGCCAATATTTCTCGGGAAAACATCGCCGAGTACCGGAACAAACTTGCGAACTTTGTTGAAAAATGTCTCAGACTGGAGGCCACTAAATCTAGTCCAGTTCAATCCCCAGAAGACACAAGTTTGCGCGTTCACCGCTAAAAAGAACCGCTTTGTCGTATCTCCTCAGTTTCAAAGCACTTCCCTTGTTGCCTCAGCCAGTATCGGAATCTTCGTAGTCGACATATCGAGTGACGTGCAATTTCGTGGTCACTTGGAACAGAAGGCCAAATTGGCCTCTAAAAAACTTGACGTGTTTAACAGAGCGGGATAGTATTTCATGCTGGCACACCGCTTGCAAGGCGCAGGTTTGGCCTCACATGGAATACTGTTCCCATCTCTGGACAGGGGCTCTCCAGTGCCAGCTCCTTCCTATTGATCGCATCCAGCGCAGAGCAGTTCGACTCGTCGACGACAGATGTTGCATCTCTTTGCGTATTTTATCGCATCTATCACGGGGAGTGCTCTGAGGAATTGTTCGGACTAATTGCTGCCGCTCAATTTCACCATCGCACATCATGACAAAACTCAACGCATGTGCAATTCCCTCCCTGGTGTTGCAGTTGTTCATGGGCGGCGGTAGTCACTTACCATCAGGTGAGCCGCATGCTCGTTTGCCCCCTCTCCTATAAAAAAAAACTCGCGATACCATCCATACCATCTGGATGATTGGCGGTCCACTACTGTGTGATTTAGAAAAAGTTTTCTCCAACCAACAACAAATAATTACTGACAAATTGACTGAATGAGATATGAATTTTCTGTGATTTCAAATGTTCCTTTGTCATAATTGTACGATTATGTGAAGACAAGTCTAGCGTTTATTTTATATTTTGTACCTATTTTAGATATCTGTGTTTTATATATTAATATGCACTTTAAATTGAAATGCAGGTTGCTTTATATACAAACCTGAAAATTTTATGAATTACGGTCGAATTTTACCAACTAGGCGACCATTAGTATACATAATATATAAAGATATAAACTAGATAAACTAAAGCTGAATTTACATTACGAAACTATATATATGCATAATGAAATTAAGTTCTTGAAACTAATTACACTACTTGTGAAACTTGTTTCGTCAAAATAAATGTCGTGAAATTATCAGTATCGTTGAGATTATGGCGCCGTCAGTGCCGCAGCTTCATTTTGCATCATCTGTACGACAAAATTTTGGACAATTTTGTCGTACAGGTGATAATTTATAAAATTAAAAAAAAGTTGTCTCGAAAGAAAAGACGTTGGTGGATTCGAGAATGGATAGCAAGAAAGCATCTGGGTGCATTATGGGGTATCTCGATTTTTGTATTGAGGATGTTTGGGATCCCAAAAACACTTGTTTCTCTGATATTCATTTATAAATTGTATTTATCGGTCTTCCAATGTTGGCTCGCCGTTTATGGTGCCTAATAACACACCGCACGGGACTACTTAGGCACACGCTTTCGCGAAACTAAGTATGCATGACATTGAATGTAAGTAAGCATGATATTAGTTTTATCCAAAAATTGAGCGTGGCACGAAACTAATTCAGTTTCATGATATTGATGCATGCATTGTAAAACTTGACGTTTACATGTGAAATTATGGTGAAATTAATGTTATGAAATTAGTTTTATGCCACTAGTTTCGTAATGAAAATTGGGCTTTATGTATGCTTTTCGAACCTGATGTTTGTATAAAAATAAAGGCTAAAAGCTAAAGTCCAGTTACAACTAGTTTTTTTTTTATAGGAGAGGGGGCAAACGAGCATGCGGCTCACCTGATGGTAAGAGACTACCGCCGCCCATAAACAACTGCAACTACAGGGAGGGAATTGCAGATGAGTTGCCGGCCTTTTAAAAAGGAGTACGCTCTATTCTTGAAGGTCCCTAAGTCGTATCGGTCCGGAAAAATCGCTGATGGTAATCAATTCCACAAGGAAGTCGTGCGAGGAAGAAAACATCTTCTAAATCGCACAGTGGTGGACCGCCAATCATCCAGATGGTGTGGATGGTATCGGGAGTTCTGCCGCGATGTGCGTTCGTGAAATTTGGCGGCTGGGATTAATCCGAACAATTCCTCAGAGCACTCCCCATGGTAGATGCGAAAGAAAATGCAAAGGGATGCAACATCTCTTCGCAGTGCCAATGAATCGAGCCGATCGGAAAGGGCTCGGTCGTCGACGATTCGAGCCGCTCTGCGCTGGATGCGGTCAAGTGGAAGGAGCTGGCACTGGGGAGCCCCTGCCCAGAGATGGGAACAGTATTCCATGTGAGGTCGAACCTGCGCCTTGTAAAGTTGCAGGCGGTGTGCCGTTATGAAATACTGTCCCGCTCTGCTGAGCACGCCAAGCTTTTTAGAGGCCAATTTGTCCTTGTCTTCCAAGTGACCACGAAACTGCACGTCACTCGATACGTCAACTCCGAGGATACCGATACTGGCTGAGGTAAGAAGGGGAGTGCCTTGAAACTGAGGAGATACGACAAAGGGGTTCTTTTTAGCGGTAAACGCGCAAACTTGTGTCTTCTGAGGATTAAACTGGACTAGATTTAGTCGCCCCCAATCCGAGACTTTGTTCAGCAAAGACTCGACTTCAGACACAAGTTTGTTCCGGTACTCGGCGACGTTTTCCCGAGAAATATTCGCACGGCCGGTGTATAGAGCATCACCAGTGCTGTCATTCGCATAGCAATGAATGTTACCAGTTAGCAACATATCATTGATATGCAGAAGAAACAGCGTTGGTGATAGCACACAGCCTTGTGGAACACCAGCGTTAATAGGCTTGTAGTCAGAACATGCACCGTCTACAACGACCTTGATGCTCCGATCTGCAAGGAAGCTGGTGAAGCTATGAAGCCCATAGGAAGGGAGCTTCGAAAGAAGCGCTTTGTGCCAAACCCGATCGAAGGCTTTCGCAATGTCCAAACTAACGGCCAACGCCTCCCACTTGGACTCTACTGCATCCGCCCATCTATTAGTTAAGTAGACCAGAAGATCACCAGCTGATCGACCCCGACGAAAACCGTACTGGCGGTCACTAATCAGCTGGTGATCCTCAAGGTACCGGATGAGCTGGCAGTTAATAATGGATTGCATTATTTTGGAGAACAAGGAAGTGATCGCGATAGGCCTATAATTGGACGGGTCTGAGCGGTCGCCTTTTTTAGGGATCGGGTGGACAAAAGCTGTCTTCCATGATTTCGGAACTACGCCTTGGAAGTAGGAGTACCGGAAAAGACGCGTTAGGACCGGTGCCAACTCCGGAGCTCACGTCCTCAGCACAATTGTAGGGATTCCGTCAGGCCCACTCGACTTCTGGATGTCCAGGGAGAGAAGTGCTTTGCGAACCGAGCGCTGTGAGAACAGCGCATCCGGCATGGAGCACTCACACCGCGGGATGGTCGGCGGTGTTTTCCCCCCGTCATCAACAGTCGAGTTGGACGCAAAAAGGGAGCCTAAAAGGTCAGCTTTGTCTTTTGCGTCTTGGGCCAGTGAGTCGTCCTCCCTGTACAGAGATGGTAGTGATGGCTTACAGAAATTCCCTTGGACAGCCTTGGCGAGAGACCAGAATGCACGGGTTCCCGAAGGAAGGCGAACTAGTTTCTCGCCAATTCTGCCTATGTGCTCTGACTTTGCCTTGGCACTAACTCTTTTGAAGGACCTGGAGGCGAAATTATACTTCCTTTTAAGTGTGCTGGTGTTTACATCCCGAGTCGCCGAAGCCGCAGCCCAGGCTTGATAACGCTCCTGCTTACTGCGTAATGCAGTCTTACAGGAGCGACCAAACCAAGGCTGAGATCTGCCTCCGATGGGTACCACAGATGATGGAATAAATAGTTCCATTCCCTGTAGCACCACATCAGTGACAGAGTCAGCAACAGCGCTGGGATCATCCGGCGAGAAGCAAACCCGCCCCCATGGGTAGGATGCAAAGAAAGACCGCATTCCATCCCAATCCGCCGACCTGTAATGCCAAACACGGCGGCAACCTGCAGAACACAACCGCGGAGGGAGCCTGAGTGGCACCACACTCCGGATCAGACAATGGTCCGAAGAGCCGAGAGCGGCATCGACGGAAACCTGATATCCGTCCGGATGAGAGGTCAGCAGAAGGTCCAACAGGGAAGGTGTATGATCCTCCACATCTGGAATCCGCGTAGGCGAAGTAACCAGTTGTGTCAGACCATATGCCAAGGCAAAATCATAAACAGATCTCCCCGCATGATCGGTTAAACGTGAACCGAGCCATTCGGCATGGTGGGCGTTAAAATCGCCAAGTATCACGATCTCTGCGGATGGGACCTGTTGTAGCAAGGAATCTGTAGCCATTTGGACGTGGTCGATGAGTCGGTCTGTTTCGGCATTTCCGCTATGGGACCTATAGAGGCACCCGTAGACGCGCGGATGGTCCTCGCTGTCTACGCGTAGCCAAAGGATGGACAGGTCCGAACCTTCAAGACTGCCGAGGCGTCGAGAACAGATGTCCTCTCTGACATACACGCAAACTCCAGCCCGAGGCACAAAGGAGTGCTCCAGTTTGTACCTCGGGTAGGAGAGATACGAAATATCAGCCGCAGAGGAAACCTGCGTCTCGGTCAGAAAGAGTAAGACCGGCTTCGCCGTCTTGAGATGGTAGTGGACGGCGTTTAGGTTAGAGTGAAGTCCCCTGATGTTACAGAAATTCAAGGATAGCGTGGCAGGGGTCGCCTTGGTATTGTTGCTCAGTTTGCCCCGAGCAGTTATGTTTTTGAGCGGAAATTTGCCCCCCCCCCCCCCCCCAGAATACGCGGGGCAGCCTGAGCACCTACGCTCAGGATTGGAATAACATGGTCGTGGATGCTCAGCGAGGGATTCTCCAGAGGTGCTGGTACCCTCCTGGGGTAGTCTTGCGTGTGATTCCACTACCATGTTGATGGGGGGGGGGGGGGGAATTGGGCCTCCGGCCACCTGCACTCACCAGACGAAACGCAGAAGCAGAGCTACTTCACGCCAGTATTCTGTGAGGTCGTGGTACCAACCCGGCTCGAGCCGGCCCATACGTGCAACAGCATAAACTGCTGCGTGACTCTACCACCGTACTAGTTTTGGCAGACTTCAGTTGCAGCCACTTCCGCCAGTTAAACTTAATTTAACGATTTAGACTTTAAAATGCTAATTATTTTTTTATTTTTACTCGTATTATAGAGATACATCACAAGATCGTTGGGACTATACGACATCATTATATTTAATCATGTCGGAGTTGACTGCGACCGGCGGCGACGAAATTCATATCAACGAATTATTCTCATTAGCTATATTAGCGTTTTGTCTTATTTGTGGAAAAATGCTGGCAGCTATCGTTGTCGCTACATCTATACAGATCGCTTATTCAACCAAATATGCTTTAAATACCTACGAAACAAAAACAGAAGAACTCATTGATGTTTTGAGGAATCAAGGCTTATCAGGTGAAATTACATATTACATAGAGGCTAGTGATGAGTGTTTCTAGCAACCGGCAACATCGAATAATCACCATTGGGGATTTTATCACTATTTTCAAGCAAGTTAGTTGCGTCTTTCAAATTAAATGACTTTTGAAATATCCCATTCACACTAATTACTTATTTTTTTCAAATTTCGTTTAATGAAAATAAATAGAAAAGCTACACTGCAGCTATATTATGGTTGTAGCATAAACGAGTCGTCTCGACTGGGAAAGAACCGCACTCCCACAGAATACCAGTAATTCTAATGTAGTTTGAATGGTGAGTTCCAAAAACCGGAGACCGTTTTTACAGAAAACGAGTCATTCCATAATGGGTAACAACACATTTGCATTTTAAATTTTAATTATTGATGATGATTATGTTTTTGGGCTACAACTTCAATTTGCCATTATGTGGATGTGTGTGCCCGTTGGTCATTCTTACTTCCACAAAAAGCATAATCAGGTATTAGATATTTATTATGCGTGTCGAATAAAATTATTTTCGGTGTCTCGTTTGTTAATGAATTTTGTCTTAAAACAAGACAAAATTCACTAACAAACGAGACACAAGAGATAAATAATCCTATTATGTGCATCTGACAATATCTGTGCCCGATGTAACGCTCAAAGCCTGAGACAGATTAAAACAGAAAACAGTGCCATAGACATGGTGACAAACATCAAGACAGACACAAAACCAAAAATGTTGTAGTACCTTTACCTTCTTTCCGTATACGTTGTAGAAAAATATTTTTTTATTATCTATCTTTATTTAAAACGACTTTTATCCTACAAGGATGTGTCAGCCTTATACCTTATACCATATATCAATCCTGTTACACAAATTATAAGTATTTAGAAAGGTATCAATGTAATAATAATATAGAAATAAATGATTTTGCTACTGCTGAGTGTGACTTCGCAAGTATAGTCAAAAATCAACCCGTTTCACCCAAATGAATAAAACATTTTTGCACCAGAATTTTGCCTTTGATATTTGACTTGCAGAAAAAAATTGAAATTATACTCCCGAATTTGAATGTAATCGTATATGTAAATTAAAAGAACGTTTGTTTCCTTTTCTTATTTTAGCGTCTTGTTTGGTTTATTTATCTTGATTATCTAAATATAAATCCCGCGAGGTTGCACAGTAGTTGTCAGGTATGCAAAACGCAAGTCCTCGTGGTCCTTACTTACATATTATGTTTATTTATTTTTTTACTTTTTCTAAGCCAGTGCTTGACCACAACCCCACCTGGTGTTAAGTGGTGATGCAGCCTTATATGGTAAATCGCACTGTCTTATTGTAACAAAAGCCTATTTACTCTTGCCTTGAAGACGCCCAGATTGTATTCGGACGGAAAGATAGACGCCGGCAAATTACTCCACTCCTTTGCTGTACGCATTACAAAAGACGAAGCAAACCGTTTGGTTCTAATGCGTGGAAAATCGACAAAAAAGGGATGAAGACCCGCCGACCGCCTGGTTGTCTGATAGTGCAAAGGAGAGGGAGGAATTAAAACGTGTAATTCCTGCGCACACTCACCGAAATGTATCCTATAGAATACCGAGAGACTGGCTACTCTGCGCCTGTGCTCGAGGCTGACACGTCTCTCTACTGAGTCCAATGCTTCCAGGTGGCATTTTGCAGTACCAGCCCATATGTGACAGCAGTACTCCATGCACGACCGGACTTGCGCTTTATATAAGGTAAGAAGCTGCTCCAGCGTGAAGTACCGCCGCACTCTTGCAAGGACACCAAGTTTCCTTGCGGTTGCTTTGGCTCTGGACTCAATGAACTGCCCATAGTTTAGGTTCGGAGAAAATTCAATCCCTAACAACTGAAGGCGGTCAGTGTACTCCAAGGGTACATTCCGGAAAGTAGGAGCCAAGGTGAACGTGCTCCTGTTAGCGGTAAAAAGACACGCTTGTGTTTTGGAGGCGTTAAATCTCACCAGATTGGCATCACCCCATTCAGAGACTGCCTGTAGTGTGAGACTCACACGCTCAACCATAGCCTCTCTTTCTGACTGGATTTGATCCCGACTGGCCCGGGCACTTGGTTGGTATCTCTCCACAACTGTGCTGTCATCTTCATACCCAGAGATACCAGGAATAAGCAGATAATTTATTTGCAGCAGGAAGAGAGTTGTGGAGAGAACGTACCCCTGAGGAACACCGGCGTTAGTCGTCACAGTACCGGATGAGCAGCCATCGACGACGACCCGGAGAGACCGTTCACTCAAAAAGTCCTTCATTCAGGCAATCAGGCCAGGGTATAAGCTGTACGCTGAAAGCTTGCCCAATAGACTAGCGTGCCAAACCCTGTCAAAGGCCTTGGAAACATCGAGGGAAACAGCAAGTGCTTCACCACTGTTCTCGAGGGCTTCGCCCCATATGTGAGTGGCATACGCTAGAAGGTCCCCAGTTGATCGATTTTGCCGAAACCCGTACTGGCGATCACTGAGAAGATCTTTTTGCTCTAGGTATGCCATGAGGTGGGCGTTCAATATACGCTCCATAATCTTGCAGAGTATGGAGGTAATTGAAATTGGCCGATATTTGACAGCGTCGATAAGGCTACTTGTTTTAGGCACAGGCTGCACAATGGCCAGCTTCCAAGATATGGGCACTATACCAGTCCTGAATGAAAGGTGGAACAAGCGTCTCAACACAGGAGACAACTCAGGTGCACAAGTCTTTAGAACTATAGCTGGTATACCATCAGGTTCACTAGCTTTGTTTACGTCTAGACTTCGTAAGGTTTTAAGAACTTCCTTTTTGGTGATACGGACCTCTGTCATAGACGTACCGCAGTGAGGTAATTGAGATGGTACGCTATTGCTACTGTCCAGACGCGAATTGCAAGCAAGAAGAGAAACAAATAAGTCCGCTTTCTCCCTAGGTTTTACCAACGGAGACAGTGTAGACCGACAGAAGTTTGTCTCGACCGCTTTGGAGAGAGACCTAAAAACTCTACTGCCAGATGGTGTTACAGAGAGCTTTGTGCCGATGCGTTTAATGCGGTCGAAACTAGCGTAAAGCCTTTTTGCAGGACTTGGCGGCTTGGTTAAAGGCTTTGTTCTTAACATCCGGAGCTTTACGGTCTCGAGCATCGACCCAAGATAAGTACGCCATATGCTTGTGCTTTTCAGCACGAGCGCACTCGGCGTTAAACCATGGGCGAGCTTTACCATCAATGGGCACGTCAGCAAAGGGGATGAAATACTCCATCGCTTGACGTATCACATTGGTTATGTCATCCGCGTATCTGGACGGGTCTTCAGAGGAGAAACAGATCTGCCGCCAAGGATAAGATGCAAAGAAATGCCGCATCTCATCCCAATCTGCTGACTTGTGTCGCCACTTTCGTCGCACTCCATGGAAATCGAAGTTAGGTGGGGAATATAACGACACAGATTTCACCAGACAGTGGTCATAAGTTCCCAAGGTTGAGGTAACCTGAATATCGTACCTGTCTGGATGTTATTACGATTTTATACGATGTTAGTAATAACAACGTTAAATGTTGCCTGTCTGTGTATAGTTAGTTCTGCAAAAATATCTAAGGAAACTGCCAGAGTAACTTCAAGTTTATTGTTTTGTTATCTTATAACATCTCCTTGATCGAAATCGTAGTATAACTTCAAAAAGCTTTCCAAGAAATCCGTCAATCAGGTCATCTAAAAAAATCGATTTTACCTTTTTTTTTTAATAATCAAAGGAAAATATAATTTCAGATTATCAATATAAAAAGTTATTGAAATATGTCCGACAGCTTTGGGTGAATGAACGTGGTCGACAGGTAAAGTGCAACTTTATAAATAGATTATATAGATTACTAGCTGTGCCCCGCGTATTCAACCGCGTGTATCACGCGTCTGAGCCGCTCGACATGATACCTCGCTTATATAGGCGTTCACTGCTGGTTCTCATTCTTATCGGGCGGCTAGGAGTATGCGTCATTCGTACGCTGAGAAAAGTGTTAAATTATTTAAATTTTTCATTAAATATGCATCCAAATAACATATTATAAAGAGAAAAGTCTATCTTTATAAAATTTGTCTTGATGATGAATAACTTTCGTTCGTAAGGATTAATATGCCATGCTTAATAATAACGCTCATTAATCACTTTGTAATTTTATTTTGGTCACAAAATACCTTATTGTGCCTTATGTATAAGAAATATGTTATAGCATACTTTTTTAGACGCAGTAAAGATCAATACTTTTGTAGAGTAATTTTTATACGTTGTAGAGCCATGCTGCAACTATATTAGTAGTATAGTTGTAGCACGAATGGGTCGGCTCGATCGGGGAAGGACCACATTCTCACAGAATACCAGCGTAAATTAGCAGCTTAACACTGCTGTGTTTTTTTTTGTGGAGAGAACCGAAGACCCTTTTTACTGGAAGCGAAGCATTCCATCTTAGTCCTCATATGTGACAACGCATCTGCATTTTAGTTGTTTATTGAGGATAGATGTAGATGTCTATGGGTCATAGTAACCACTTACCATTAAGTGGACTGTGTGCTTGTTTGTCACCCTATCCTATATAAAAAAAAATTATTTACGTAACACTAACCATTACGCCAGCGCACGCGGATAAAGCATTTCGGGAGCGCTGTTTCTTTTGAACTTGTCTAAGAAAAATTTAAGCCTAGCCGAGAGGTGTAGCATAATGCTAGATAAGATAAGTAATAGAATCAGGCGTTACCTTGCGGAAATCCATTATATTAGTGAGTAAAAATTATTTTGCATATATTTGCAAAAAAAATATTATTAACGAAAAAAATGATGTCATATACCTAGTTTGTTTTGAAAATTTTTACTGTCGTAGTCGCGGGTGTGTCTTTCCAGTGTAGTAGTGTTAGGAGTAGTGGTGCTGAGATTAGTGATGACAGGGATAGTGCACGCAATTTTGGGCGGGCGATAGGTGCTCTTTAAACTGGATAAGACACATCATTTTATTTCATTAATTGGATATAGGCAAAGTAGTTTTCACTAACTTTAATATAATGCTAGATACTCTATACAAATTTCCATGAATCTGTCTATTATATACAAATAATTTATCAAATCCACCTGGTAGTTTCACGCTAGTCCACAGGGATTAGCGTGTTTAAACAAACAAAAAAACAAAAAACTTCCGCTTTAACTTATTATTTTAGTTTTATAATCTTTTATATATTAATAATTATATTTATATTTAATAATTAATAATTTTTCTCAGTTGCCTGCTTTATTGTCTAAAACCCCTTATGTTTTGCGTTGTGATCTTATGAATGCGATGTTCGGTCATCATCTAAGAAACTGTTACTTGTTTGTTGACACTGGCGAGCCATTTCTACGTCAACTTAGCGCTGCATTAAGTTATACAATTTTCTTTCCAGGTAATTGACATTTTGATCAATTTCTATCCAAAATCATTTCAAACACTACATAAAATTAATGCTTTTTATTATTTATTATTTTTAAAGTTATCGTCTGTTTATCTGGTTGCTTTCTATTGTAACATATAAAGAGTCCGTGTTAGCCAATATAACTAACGCTCGCAATTATTTTCACAGTACGCGAGTAACCCGGGTTCGATCCCCGCCGGCACCAATGAAATTGTTAATTGCAATTTTAAGTGCTTATTTACCACGTGTTCAGCGTTGAAGGAAAACATCGTGAGGAAATCTGCATGTCTGAGAAATAAAAAAAATATTTCGAAGACATGTCAATTCCGCCAACACGCTTTGGGGCAGGACGGCTGACGCTTCCTTGTCCTAAAACCCTCTCAGAAGTGAGAGGTGTGTGCCTAGCAGTGGAACGTATATAGGCTGTAACTTTAACTTTACTATATAAAGACTGCATTGGGATGGATATTTTTGATACAAATTGGGGACTACTTAGCATGAAAATTCGTTTTTAGTACAAACCTTATGTTTTTAACGTTTTACTTACATAAGTAGTACTACAAAGGAGGCTACCTACCCAAGGCTCTATCTATTAAGATAGGTTGTATAGTCTGCCTTAACAAGTTTTAAATAAAAAAAAAATATTTGTTCGAAAATATACGTGGAAATTCAATTAAAAATATCACAACTCGAGTTGATTCTAAAAAAATATATTTATATACAGGTGCACTGGCAGAGTGATGGTTTGGTGCGGTACTGAATTAACTCCAGATGGATTACTTATGTCACTAGCTCACGAGTTGCGATTATACAAAATATATTACTAATCAACATTCGCAACGAAATTTAACTTATTTAAATTATGAATAATACAATAAAATTTTTATTAAAAGATAGTACGTGGCTTAATAGAATACCACCCCGTCTAGTAGCGGGCAAGAATACCCACTAACCCATATCTGCCCGTAAAAGGCAACAGAGGGAAACTGATGCAAAAGATAGGCAGCCAGATTAACAGTGGTAGAGCCAAGCGGTAGCTTTTGCTGTCGCACGGATGGGCCAGCTCGAACCGGGGTGGTACCACGACCTCACAGAATACCAGCGTGAAGTAGAGGTTTACCTCTGCGTTGCGTTTGGTGAGTGCAGGTGGCCGGAGGCCCAATTCCCCCCCCCCCCCCATCAACATGGTAGTGGAATTAAATACAAGACTACCCCAGGAGGGTACCAGCAACCCTGGAGAATCCCTCGCTGAGCATCCACGAACAAACTACTTCACTCCTGAGCGTGGGTGCTCAGGCTGCCCCGCGTATTCTGGGGGGGGGGCAAAATTCCGCTCGTGACTAATGCTGCTCGGGGCAAGCGGAGCAATACAACCAAGGCGACCCCTGTCACGCTATCCGTGAATTTTTGCAACATCAGGGGACTTCATTCCAACCTTAACGCTGTCCATTACCATCTAGAGACGGCGAAGCCGGCCTTGCTCTTTTTAACCGAGACTCAGGTGTCCTCTCCGGCTGATACTTCATATCTCTCCTACCCGGGGTACAAATTGGAACACTCCTTTGTGCCCCGGGCTGGAGTTTGTGTATACGTCAGAGAGGACATCTGTTTTCGACGCCTCGGCAGCCTTGAAGGTACGGACCTGTCCATCCTATGGCTGCGCGTAGACAGCGACGACCATCCCCGCGTCTACGGGTGCCTCTATAGGTCCCATAGCGGTAATGCCGACACAGACCGACTCATCGACCACGTCCAAATGGCTGCAGACTCCGTGCTACAACAGGTCCCATCCGCAGAGATCGTGATACTCGGTGATTTCAACGCCCACCACGCTGAATGGCTTGGTTCTCGTTCAACCGATCATGCGGGTAGATCTGTCTACGACTTTGCTTTGGCATATGGTCTAACACAACTGGTTACTTCGCCTACGCGGATCCCAGATGTGGAAGACCATGTACCTTCCCTGTTGGACCTTCTGCTGACCTCTCATCCGGACGGATATCAGGTCTCCGTCGATGCCCCTCTGGGCTCTTCGGACCATTGTCTGATCCGGAGCACAGTGCCACTCACGCTCCAATCGCAGTTGCGATCTACAGCTTGCCGCCGTGTTTGGCACTATAGGTCAGCTGATTGGGACGGGATGCGGTCTTTTTTTGCATCCTACCCTTGGGGGCGGGTTTGCTTCTCGCCGGAAGATCCCAGCGTTGTTGCCGATTCTGTTGCTGATGTGGTACTTCAGGGTATGGAACTTTTTATTCCATCCTCTGTGGTGCCCATCGGAGGCAGATCCCAGCCATGGTTTGGTCGCTCCTGTAAAATAGCATCACGCTATAAGCAGGAGTGCTACCGGGCCTGGGCTGACGCATCAACGTCTCGGGATTTAAACACCAGCGCACTTAAAAAGAAGTATAATCCCGCCTCCAGGTCCTTCAAAAGCGTCATTGCCAAGGCAAGGTCTGAGCACATCGGCAGAATTGGCGAGAAGCTAGTTCGCCTTCCTTCGGGAACCCGTGCATTCTGGTCTCTCGCCAAGGCTGTCCAAGGGAACTTCTGTCAGCCATCCCTCCCATCTCTGCACAGAGAGGACGACTCACTGGCCCATGCCGCAAAAGAGAAAGCCGATCTGTTGTGCTCTCTTTTTGCGTCCAACTCGACTCTAGATGACGGGGAGAACACACCGCCGACCATCCCGCGATGTGAGTGCTCCATGCCGGATGTGCGATTTACACAGCGCTCGGTTCGCAAAGCACTCTTCTCCCTGGACGTCAGCAAGTCGAGTGGGCCCGATGGAGTCCCTCCCATTGTGCTGAAGACGTGTGCTCCGGAGTTGGCACCGGTTTTAACGCGTCTTTTCCGGTACTCCTACTCCCAAGGCGTAGTCCCGAATTCATGGAAGACAGCTTTGGTCCACCCGATCCCTAAAAAAGGCGACCGCTCAGACCCGTCCAACTACAGGCCTATCGCCATCACCTCCTTGTTCTCCAAAATAATGGAATCCATTATAAACTGCCAGCTCATGAGGTACCTTGAGGATCACCAGCTGATCAGTGACCGTCAGTACGGTTTTCGTCGGGGTCGATCAGCAGGTGATCTTTTAGTTTACTTAACTCATAGATGGGCGGAGGCAGTAGAGTCCAAGGGGGAGGCATTGGCCGTTAGTTTGGACATAGCGAAGGCCTTCGATCGGGTCTGGCACAAGGCGCTTCTTTCGAAGCTTCCTTCCTATGGGCTTCCCGAGAAATTGTGCAAATGGATCACCAGTTTCCTTGCTGATCGGAGCATCAAGGTCGTAGTAGACGGTGCATGCTCTGATTACAAGCCTATCAACGCTGGTGTTCCACAAGGCTGCGTGCTATCACCAACGCTGTTTCTCCTGCATATCAATGATATGTTGCTAACTGGTAGCATTCATTGCTATGCAGACGACAGCACTGGGGATGCCTTATATACCGGCCGTGCCAATATTTCTCGGGAAAACGTCGCCGAGTACCGGGACAAACTTGTGTCTGAAGTCGAGTCTTTGCTTAACAAAATCTCGGATTGGGGCTGACTAAATCTAGTCCAGTTCAATCCCCAGAAGACACAAGTTTGCGCGTTTACCGCTAAAAAGAACCCCTTTGTCGTATCTCCTCAGTTTCAAGGCACTCCCCTTGCTGCCTCAGCCAGTATCGGAATCCTTGGCGTCGACATATCGAATAGCGTGCAGTTTCGTGGTCACTTGGAAGGGAAGGCCAAATTGGCCTCTAAAAAGCTTGGCGTGCTCAGCAGAGCGAGACAGTATTTCATGCCGGCACATCGCTTGCAACTTTACAAAGCGCAAGTTCGGCCCCACATGGAATACTGTTCTCATCTCTGGGCCGGGGCACCCCAGTGCCAGCTCCTTCCACTTGACCGCATCCAGCGCAGAGCGATTCGAATCGTCGACGACCGAGTTCTTTCCGATCGGCTCGATACACTTGCACTGCGTAGAGATGTTGCATCTCTTTGCGTATTTTATCGCATCTATCACGGGGAGTGCTCTGAGGAATTGTTCGGACTAATTCCAGCCGCTCAATTTCACCATCGCACGTCGCGACAAAACTCGCGTTACCATCCATACCATCTGGATGATTGGCGGTCCACCACTGTGCGATTTAGAAGAAGTTTTCTCCCTCGCACAACTTCTTTGTGGAATCAATTACCACCAGCGAATTTTCCGAACCGATACGACTTAGGAACCTTCAAGAAAAGAGCTTACACCTTTCTAAAAGGCCGGCAACGCATCTGCAATTCCCCTGGTGTTGCGGTTGTTCATGGGCGGCGGTAGTCACTTAACATCAGGTGAGCCGCATGCTCGTTTGCCCCCTATTCTATAAAAAAAAAAAAAAAAAAATAACAATAAAAAAACTGCGGTTGCCAAAGCGCTCGCCAAGCGTGGCAACTATGGCAATATGGGGTATATTGATGAAAGTTACGAAGAGACGGCCATCAGTCGCCGGCGGCCCTATTCCTGGCTACGATGGCGACTATGGTAACGGCAGGGCAGAGGGTGATAAGAATCTCAGGTGGAAGTTCGGTTGCCACGAAAAACGACTCGACCTGGCAACATATAACGCACGCACCCTGAGGACTGACGAGAAGATCCTGGACTTTGAGGAAAAGATAAACATGTTGCGCTGGAATATTATGGGATTATCTGAGGTCCGAAGAGAGAGAGAGAGGACACTGTTATCCTCGAACGCGGCAACTTGTTCTATCACCGGGAGGACGACAATCCGACCCAAGGAGGTGTTGGATTTATCGTTCACAAGACTGTCTTTATCAAATTTGTAAAGATTGGCATGTACCGACAAAGGTTGCGTACCTTATACTTAGAATCACCAAACGGTATTCACTGAAGGTCATATAGGTCAACCTCGGCACATCCCGATGAGGAGGTGGAGGAAATGTATGAGGATATATCCAGTGCCATGCATTCCTCCAAAATCCACTATACGGTGTTAATGGGAGACTTCAACGCAAAACTAGGCAAAAGAGAGAGTGGTGAGCTTAAGGTAGGGAAATTTTGAATAGGGCAAGGGGCCAACAGCTAACCGACTTGATGGAGAAAGAGGGACTCTTTATCATGAATTATTACTTCCAGAAGTGACCCCACATAAAGCAGACCTGGTCGAGCCCCGACGGTTCAACAAAAAACGAGATTGACTTCATCATGATGACCAAACGACAACTGTTCTATCATGTCTCAGTAATCGTGACTGTGAAAATGGGCAGCGATCACCGAATGGTAAGAGGCACAACGAACTTAAACATAAAGGTTACGTCTAATGAAGTCAACGCTCCGTTCCTTCGTGCTCTAATACAATGTCCCGAAAAATTTCAGCTCGAGTTACAAAATCATTTTGAGTACCTAGAAGATTGCAATGCAGTGGATGATATGAATGACAAGCGCGTGAAAACTAGTCATACGGTTGGAGCTAAGTTGTAAAAGACTCGTTGCAGAAGAACACAAATACTCTCCTATCACACTCTTAATCTTATGGCTGTTAGACGGGAGATGAAGCTGCAGTCTTCAACAGATTTGACAGCATATATAGGCAACTGAACAGGCACATATCTAAATTCATGCGGCGGGACTTACTCAACTTTAATACAACTTGTATTGAAGAAGCGATTGAGCGGAACCAGGGCTCCAAAGTCTTTGCCAGAGATATGTCTGCCAGAAAGAGCCAACTTTCGAAGTTGAAGACCGAATGTGGCATCATCGTTTCTGGGATACTTGAGATTTTGAGTGAGATTGAGATATTTTATGTGTATACATCGTCATTGGAGTAACACGCAAGTGTAGTAAAGATCCGAGAGCAAATATTATCCGACACTATTTTGAAGATATTCTAGACGTTAGTCTGAGCGAGATCAGAATGGCTCTCCAACACGAACGGGGATGGAATTAAAGCGGAGCTTCTGAAAGCGGGAGGAAAACCGGTACTTGAAGTCCTTCAGAAGCTCTATAATTCCATCCTCCATGGTAGCACTACTTCCGAGGCGTGGAGCAGAAGTGGTCTTGTTCTTCAAAAAAGGCGACAACGCTCTCTTGAAGATCTACATACCAATTTTCTTTCTGAGCCGCGTCTACGTGTATTTTTCGATAGTCATTGCGAATCGCCTCTCATGCAGACTTGAACACTTCCAGCCTCCCACAAACGCGGGTTTCCGAAAAGGCTTTAGTACCCTAGCCCACATATATACCCTTTGGCAAATTGTACAAAAGACTGAGGAGTATAATCTGCCACTATGTCTTGCGTATGAGGACTATGAAAAAGCCTTGATTCCGCCGAAATTTAGGTGGTGCTGCAGTCTCTTCAGCGGTGCCAAGTTGACTAGCGGTATATCAAAGTGCTGAAGTGTTTGCACAGTAGGGCTACAATGGCTATATGAGTACAGAACCATACGTACCAATCATAGTACTAAGCCTATCCAACTGCATAGAGATGTAAGACAGGTTGACGTTTTATCCCCGAAATTCTTCACCGCTACATTAGAAGACGTTTTCAAGCTACTAGACTGGAAAAGATACGGTATTAACATTAATGGTGAGCACATCACGCACCTTCGATTTGCCGACGATATGATACTTATGGCAGAATCGCTGGAGGACCTAATCACTATGCTTAATGACCTCAATATTGCCTTTCAACGGAGAGGTCTTAAGATGAACATGGACAAAACAAAGATCACGTGTAACGTCTATGTCACAGCTATGCCAGTAGTAGTTGGGAGCATTAAGCTCGAAGCTGTAATACAAATAGTACGACTAGCTAAGTCCAACATCGACCGAGAGTTCAATCGACAGATTCAACTCATCTGGGCAGAGTTCGGGAAATTACGACACATCTCGTCAGGTATACCTCAAAACTTGAAGACGAGAGTGTACAACCATAGCATATTTCTAGGGATGACTTATTCTCTAGATTTGAGACGTAGTATGAAAGTGAAGGACCAACTACCGGCCGCATTATGAGGAAGCTCATGATCGCTAAGCGAGCTATCAAGAGATTCTCTGCGTGATAAACTTAGAAATGAGAATCCTCAGTAGAACCAGATTAACCGACATATCCCAACAGAAAAGTTAATTTAAGTGGCAATGGGCCGGCACTATAGTTCGAAGAACCGACAACCGATGGGGAAGAATGGTTTTCGAGTGGCAGCCTCGTATCGGTAGGCGAAGTGTAGTGCGAATATAGGTGGTTCAGGACCGTGCTTTGTGGCATTCCTTGGCCAAGGCCTATGTTCAGCAATGGACTTGTGAAGGGCATTATTATTATTAGTAGTAAATAAAACAAAATTTGTCATATCTTAAATTGTTATTAAAAAAATCCATCGCATACATAAAACCTCTTTTAGGGTTGATTTTATTTGTTTTAACTGACGATAAATTTGTAATGGGAACTAAAAAGTTTTCATTAAAAATTTATATCAATATCTACGTAGTAATTAGAGATTTAAATATTATTAATATTTAAAAAATATTCAATAACAGGAAATTACATAGTAGTGGCGGGTGATAGTGAAGCACGCATGTATTGGGTAGCATCGGGCACAGTGTCTGTAGTGACAGTACGCCACGACTTAACAGAGACAACTTTCGAGTCGCTCGGCCCTGGAGATGTGTTCGGCATTCTACAGGGCTTGCATCGAGGAATAACCCATAGTTTCTCCTATAGAGCCGAGACTAAAGTAAGAAGTATAAGTTTAAGTAATCCTGAAAACTGATTTCAATTCCTTTAGCTTCTCAAATTATAGGCAACATAAAATAAAAAATGAGCCACTAAAGTAATTATTTAACTTAGGGCTAATTATTCAATAATCAGATAAAATTTATCCATCAAATAAACAGGCTGAATATAAAAGTGAAACAATGAAAGTATTTTATACTTAAAACTGTAGTTTTAATTTTTGTATGTTGTATTCTAATCCTATGAATAAATTTTAGCTGAGGTTTGAAATACGGGCCCGTTCTAATACATTATTGCTCTCTTGCAAAGTTTTAGTATCCGTGAAGTATTAGCTAAAAAAAGTCCAACTGCAGGACACAGACTTCTTTGGATATTTGAGTGGGAACAAAACGGAGAATAGACATCCTCGTGAGAGATATCACATATGCTTGTAATAATTTTTTTTGTTTCTTTTTTTTTGTAATAAAGGTGACAAACGAGCACAAAGTTTACCAGATGGTAAGGAGATGCTGCGGCCCATAAACATTTACATCTATCCTCAATTAAGAATCAAAATTCAGATCCGTTGTCGTCCGTGAGGGCTAATGGAATGCCTCATTATCAGTAAAAAAGGGTCTCCGGTTCTCTAAACTCAACATAAGAAATACTCAACATATGATGCTGATCATTAAGCTGCTATTTGACGCTGGTATTTTGTGTGAGCGTGGTCCTACCCCGGTCGAGCCAACACATTCGTACTGCAGCCGTAATATAGCAGTTACATGGCTCTACCACGTAATATTAATGTACAATGCAATAAAAAAAACGTTCAGGACGTGGTAAAAGTTATTATAGTAGTTGTAACATGTAATATATGAATATATGTATGTGTGTATACAGTAAGTGTGAAAGTATATATTGGTAGCAGCAAACTTGTAAGTGGATGGAATGATGTCGAAAATATGGCATTTATCATGTACTAACTTTATCGAGGTTATCACCTCTGAATTCGGTCACGACTGGAATTGGATGATGGAAATTTAAACTTTAATGTACAAAGTATCTTCAACATATGGTGAACATAATGCCAACCATTGCTCTCACTTGATTTCTCCCAGTCAATTAGGCTAAACAGAGATAGACATGTAAGAAGTGCTACAGCAAAAATTCAAAAAAAATATAAGAAAAGGTAAAATAATACATTATATAAATATACACATAATATGTATATGCGAAAAAGGTTTTTAATAACTATGGTTTAAATATACATAATTATGTCGCTACATGCATACAAAATACTCATATTATCTACTTAAAACATATATAACCTTGATAATTATCATCTACGGAAGTATAAATATGAAATGTTAGCATCTCTAAATATTACATAATACTATATAAGAAGGTTTTTTAAATCATAATTTAATTGAAATGTTTTTTCAGGTGGGTATTTTAACGTTAAGTTTAGATTCATGGATTAATATGTTGCCGTTTTTTCCTGATACACAGAAAATAATTATGAAAAGAGCTGAAGTTTTGTTTGCTAAAATTTGATTTTCATCATCATCACCATTAAAAAGACTGAAAATCGTATATTTACTGATTAATAAAACATGAAAAAGAACTATATTTTCATTTATTTTAGTAATTTTGGTTTTAATTTTACCCATTATTAAAATTACTATCACAGCCAAGAATTATCGATTGCTCTAATCACCTGCGTCTCCTTGAAAATTCTCGTATACTTATTCTTATTCGTACAGCGCAACAGATTGTCTCTAAATAAGTGGTAACTGCAGACTATACCCAGATGGACGGGCACAAAATTGAGTCCTACTAAAAATACATTTTACTATCTAATAAAACATATGCGATGTACTTCAGTTCAACCGTAAATGTGTCTGACGCTTATATTTAGATTTTATTCAATTTCTTTATCAAATCCGGGGGTTTGTCATCATCGCTGAACATTGAAGAATCGTCCTTGGTACACAAATTTTCCAGAAGGTGTCGCAAACTCTCAAATTTAAATGCCAATCAGATGACATGAAAATGGTATCATCTATGTATCATCTCTGCCTCAAAATGTATATAAATAATATGTAACTATGAATAGAGTAATTGGTCATCATTTCATGTTATCGAAATGTATGTTCCTACTTCAGTTTTTCTAATTATTTTATATTGTTATTCTGTATAGAATAAAAATTTTGAAAAGTATAAAACGTAGGTACTTGCCATTCAAAGAACGAATTTACATTAATAAAAAAAGAAAAATGCCATACGCACTGATACTAATACCACAAATTTACACAAGGAAAGAAAAGGTAATTAAAAGATCTAGGTATTCATTTTTTATAAACAAAAAATATGTTATTTCACCACTTTGAAAAGTCTAGTCACAATGGAATGTTTTAAAAGCATATCTTTGGAATTGGTTACAATCCCGTTACAGTTTATGATTTTGCTCCTTTTCGGTCACCAGAACGACTCCCTTTCTCTGAGTGAGAAAGGAACACAATTAATGGAAAATGTCCAGGAATGTTATAACGAATAGAACTTTCAAAGTTGCTAAATCCATTTTACCAATCGTATTCGTATATCATCCACGGTTATATGGATTTATCGTCGTCAGAAACAAATCTACTCCCACTTGTTTATGCACTTATGTCCGACAAAAGCCAGAGGTCACTGCACTATTTGCCGTGATTAAATCTCAGACTCCGAATTTGTTTCCAAAAATAACATGTGGACTTCGAAATAACCGCCGCTTATTGCATAACAAATTAATTTCCAGAAATAATATTAAATAATTATTATTGTCATTTAACCAAAGCAGTTTAGAAAAAACTACAGACAAAATAGTAATTAAAAGTGAGTCTGAACGCTGAATTGTTGGCCTATATACGGATTTGGTATTTATGCTTAAAAATCATTTCAAAGAAGATGTTAGTTACGGAAGAGAGAATCTTAAAGTCGGTACCGAAAAAATCTTATATAAAAGTATAGAAAAACGAAAATTATATATTTGAATGATTTGTCCTACAATATAGTAGGATAATGTGATAAAACGAATTTTCCGCAAAAAATCTAGGGATATCGCGAAAACACGGATAATTAGACATTTCTCAATCTTACTGAAAAAATATAGGAGTTTTTGTAAAAACAGCACTCGCTTTAGTAAAGATTGCGAAAAGAATCGTTGGCTATTATACACAAAGCACAATCATTGGTCAGTCGGATCACCCAAAGCAAGGTCTTATCTGATTGGTGGTGGATTGACAACTTGACGTTTCATTTGTCAATCCTTTCTGTCGCCTTCCACCTTTTTTCCTCGCTGGACATGCCTATGTTTTTATTAAATGTTGAAGATTAAAATTTTTGTTAAATAATTTCTGAGAAAAATCGCTTTAATAGGAAGGGCGTCCTCCCTCCGCCAAAGTAATGCCAAAGTGTAGTCGATGGAGCCCCGGGGGATTCCTATTTCTGGATTGTTTATAAATAAATAACCATCTAAATAACAATATACCCTAACCTGTCCGAGCCGGGATGCCCCGAGTCCCGAGCTCACTTCACTCGCTATTGCATCAAATAAAACACCAAAATGTTAACTTTTATAATTACTTTAATAAGTAAACATATTTTATTACTTCCACCATTTCCAAATACGTCATGACATGACAAAATACTTCAAACCATTGCTACAAACCTACAAGGTAAAACTAGGAACCAATCAAATAGCCTATAAACCAAAATCAAGCCAAGCAGAGTAAAGTATATTCAAAGTTTCTAAAGCAACCAGTTATTTCGCAAAACACCTTTTTTCAGTAAGATTGAGAAATGTCCTGAAAATGAAAATGAATGAAATGAAAATCCCTAGATTTTTGCAGAAAATTCAGTTTATCAAATTATCCTACGACATATATATTATGAACGCCAACGAACAAATCATGCTTCTGAAAGTTGAAATACAAAACTGAATAAAAATAAAAGAAATCAGGTGTAGATTTTACCGTAACTAAAATTACAGTAATAAAAATAAACTTCACTTCGACGATAAGGAAAATACATAGATTGGAATGACAAGAAAATAATACATGAGTTACATATAATTTATGGTAATAATAATAAAGTGCTTAACAGTCTTTTGTTGGGAGTTAATAAGACACGCATATAACGGTTGGATTACGCCTGTTCTCATGTATACATAGCTCTCTTACGCTCTGGATCGAAAAGTCCGCACACATGACGTCCCACAGGATGCATCATCCGAGATCGTCAGTAATGAGGCTGTACTTGCCGCGGAAACATGGTGGGCGCGGATTTATAAGCGCGCTTACCATGCATAATCGCGAAGAGTGCAGCCTCCGTAGTTACTTTCTGACGAGAGCGGATGATCAATTCTATTGGAACGTTATTTTTTGTGATAAAGGACTTACCCTTCTACCCTTAGCCAACAAACAATGGCAAGACCCGACAGTACAGAGTATTTCCGACCGGGAGATCGTATGGAAGGAGAAGGAGCTTCACAGGAGGTTCTACAAGGCTCTACATAAGCCTTTCGTAGACACAGTTCCCTCCCTCTACTGGCTTCGTTTTGGTGACCTCTTCGGGGAAACCGAGGGTTTTGTCTGTACAATACAGGATCAGGTTATCAAGACCACAACTATCGGAGTAACATCCTAAGGGATGGCACCGTCGACATTTGTCGAGCTTATCTCCATCCCAGTGAATCACTTAGGCATGTCATCTCCGGTGTTTCGGCGCTTTCTAACTCTGAGTACTTGCATAGGCACAACCTAGTAGCCAGAATTCTACACCTGGAGTTCGCTCTGAAATAAGGTCTCGTGGATCGGAAACTGCCTTATTATAAGTACATGCCGGAAGCCGTGATCGAAAATGACCGCGCCAGGCTCTACTGGGACCAGGCCATCATCACAGACAGTACCATTATTGCGAATAAGCCTGATATTGTGCTGATGGCCCGGGCTGTGCCTGCTGCTGCTGGCACAGTCAAGGATATTTTTGGTCGTCATTACCATTCCGTATGACGAGAACCTTGTGAAAGCCGAAACAAATAAGCGAACAAAATATCTGGACCTGGCTCACGAGGTGACTGACATGTGGGGTGGACTGCCGACCGAAATTATTCCTGTGGTCGTTTCTGCGAACGGGTTAATCCCAGTCAGCCTCTTGGGTCATCTGGCGACTGGGACTCCATGACGGATCGTTCCAAGCTCAAATGCAGAAGGCGGTGTTCCTCGATACCACCCGCATCGTCCGCCGGTTTCTTTCCCTTTCCCCCTAACCCTCGGCCGTTTAGTCTCCCCTGAGGGCTTTCATCTGGTTGGGTTTTTATTTATTTATGTAGTTTTTATGTATTTATTTTATTTTATTGATATTTATGTATGTCTATCATTTTCATTTACAATAATATATTTATACAGTCCAACCAGATGAGAAAACTATATAGATACCCCACATAATAATAATAAGATATTTATTTCGGATAACAAATGAAATTCATATCAGACAAGAAGTTATAAAAATCACACAGTAATAATCATACAGCTAGGTGGACGAAGAAGGTAATATGATATAGACACAGATAGTACCTTAACAAATGTCCTTATTATAGGACAGTCATATTTTTGTGCTGTTACCCCTAGAATACTGTTGGCGCTGTTCCTTTTCTGCTTAGTAGCGATACATATTTTTTGCGTATTATCACGTCAAGCCCGTCGTTGCGGGCCTCGCAGTACATGTCTGCAGTGCTGTTGAAACGAGGCAGCCCCAAAAGAACCTTGAATGCATTGTTATATTGCACCTTTATACGCCCTTAGTGTGTAGTTGTACCCATAGGGAGCACGAATAAAAACTAGCAGTATGTCTTAAAAAGAGTTATTTTAACGACACTTCAGAATCATTGAATAAAATTACTTTTACGGATACTATCGCGTTTAATTAACTTGTTTTTAATTTCCGACGTTTAGGGTGATTTACAGCACCCATGATCACCGTTAGTACCTAAGTCCCCCGTCCCCCTTGCCTTATTCAGGCACGTTACGAGAATCCAACCTGGCTTGTGGGTGACACCCGAAAATTTTGGTCATATTCCCGGCTGCGCTCCACAAGCAGTCTTAGCGATGGCCTGCATTAGTGCCCGGTAGACCAACCGCATCTGATCCACGCTCATAGGATTCGGCACACACGCGCGGAGCCAGCTACGGAACTGAAGCTGAGTTTCTTTTCCCCCGTTGCCAGCTTCACAGATTTCCTGCGCTGGTCTTTGGGTGACTCCTCCTCAGATCGACTGCGTTATTTCGCCTTCGAAACTGGGGGAGGTTTGGGCAATAGTTGTTTGGACTGCTAGGTATCCAGCAGTCAGTCAGTCATATGGCAAAATTGAGCATAATTTGGCGGTGTTATATTTATTACCCCATTTCGCACAATCACAGATAGCTAACTACATATACTGGCGATTATTTCTATAAAAAATATGTTCTATAAGGAAAATAAAAAAGTTACAGGTCCTGTTCGAGTTGTGTCATATAAATTTAAACGAAATTTAAGATTATAGGCTCATACATTTTTAAGAAATATATTTATTTACTTCGGCTTTATTTGCATACCATGTACAAAAAGATGAACTATATACAACAAGGCATTCTCTACCAGTCTTCCAGGGTAAGCAGTAATCCAAATATATTATATATAAACTAGTTTTCTACCCGCGACTCGCGTGGTTCAATTTAGGAACATCTTTAATAATACTTCGAGCGAAAATTTGCCAAATTGGATTGTCGTGTCTCTATTACTGTTTGTGGATTGATTTTTTTTGAATTCGCAGAGACTATTGGACATAAGACCTTAATAAAGGTATTTTGGTATTGCATTAATATATGTCTAGCACTTGTATGTATCGGGCGTGTCTGAGAGTAGACTTCCAAATTGTACAACAATCATTAACGGGAGTAGAAATATATTCGCTTTGTAGTAGCGACGCCAGAGAACCCACTACCCCATATCGTCCTGTCGTTGTCATAAGAGGCTAAGAAGGGAAACTGAAACATGAGATGGGCAACAGGGCTCCTCTTAATAACAGCTCAAAATAATAAAAAGCTGCAGTTGCAAACTCGCCTGCCAAGTGATGCAATTACGGCAAATATCAAGCCTATTAGACAATCTATGGGGGAGGTCTATCTTCATCAGTTGACTTTTGATAGGCAGTAATGATGACGATGACGAGTAATGCTTATCTTCGCTACCCTTAATATTAACGATAGAATAACAACAAAATTAAACTTCTCCAAAAATATGAATTAAATGAAAACTGCATTATTAAAAGTATAAAAGTAGCAGCCTACATAAATCTTACTACTGGGTAACGCAGATAGTTTTTGGATTAGCTTTATAGACATGCGGTTTTCTTTCACCGCCGATAACGTGGTAAATCGCCACTTCAAACTGCAATTAAGATGTAAGTATTCCCTGTTTAGTGGTGGGTGAGAATAACTACTACCCAATATCTTCCCGTGGGTGTCGTAAGAGGTGACAGAGGGACACTGAGGCTTAAGATGAACAACAGCATCTTTCTGATAAAAGCAAAACAACAATAAAAAAACTGCAGTTGCCAATCTGCTCGCCAAGCATGGTAATTATGATAATATACCCCCCATGATTAAAGTTACTAAAAGACGGCCCCCAGTCCCCGGCAGCCCCGCTATTCCTGGCTACGGTGGCGACCATGGCAACGGCGGCGCAGGGGATGATAAAGGTTCAGTTGCCACCTAAGACGACTCGAGCTGGCAACATATAACGCATGTATCCTGAGGACTGACGAGAAGATCCTGGATCTGGAGGAAGAGATAGGCAGGTTGCGCTGGAATATTATAGGATTATCCGAGGCCCGAAGAAAGGGGGAGGACATGGTAATCCTCAAATTCGGCAACTTGTTCTATCACCGTTAGAGCTACCATCTGTCCCAAGGAGGTGTCGGGTTTATGGTCCACAACTTTCTCGTTAACAACGTTGTAGAGATTGAGTGTGTCGACAAGAATTGCGTACCTTATACTCAGAACCACAAAACGGTATTCGCTGAAGGTCATACAGGTTTACGCACCAACCTCGGCACATCCTGATGAGGAGGTAAAGGAAATGTATGAGGATATATTCCTCCAAAACCCACTATACGGTGTTAATAGGCGACTTCAACGCAAAACTAGGCACAAGAGAGAACGGTGAGCTGAAAGTAGGGAAATTCGGAATAGGGAAACGGAACCCAAGGGGCCAGCAGCTGGCCGACTTCACGGAGAAAAAGGAACTCTTTACGATGAACTCTTTCTTCCAGAAGCAGTCCCACAGGATGTGGACCTGGTCGAGCCTCGACGGTTTGACAAAATATGAGATTGACTTCATTTTGACGACCAGAGGACAACTGTTCAGTGATGTCTCAGTGAACGCGAGGGTGAAAACCGGCACTGATCACCGAATGGTAAGAGGCACACTGAACGTAAGCGTTAATTTGGAGAGGTCACGTCTAATGAAGTCAACGCTCCGTCCCTCATGTGCTCTAATCCAAAGTTTTGAAACCTTTTAGCTCGAGCTTCAAAACCGTTTGCAGTACCTAGAAAATTGCAATGCAGTGGACGATATGAATGACATGCTCGTGAAAACTGTTCATGCGGTCGGAGCTAAATTTGCAAGACCCGCCGCAGAAGAATACAAAAACTCTCCGATCACACTCTTAATCTTATGTCTGTTAGACGGGAATTTAAGCTGCAGTCTTCAGTAGATTTGACAGCATACAGGTAACTGAACAGATCTCCAAATGTATGCGGTGGGACTTACGCAACTTTGATACTGCTCTTATTGAAGAAGCTATCGAGCGGAACCAGGGCTCCAAATTCTTTGCTAGAGTTTTGGCTGCCAGAAATAGCCCACTGTTGAAGCTGAAGACCGAGTGTGGCATCGTCGTTTCCGGGACACCTGAGAGTTTGGGTTAGATAGAGAGCCACATGCAATTTTGTCAGACACATCAATCAGAGTACGAAGCCTTTCCGACTGCAGAGAGGTGTAAGACAGGGTGACGTTATATCCCCGAAACTCTTCATTGCTACTGTTTTCAAGCTTCTGGACTGGAAAGGATGCGACATTAACATTAACGGCGAGGACATCACTCACCTTCAATTTGCCGACGATATAGTCCTTATGGCAGAATCTCTGGACGTCTTAAGATGAACATGAACAAAATAAAAATCATGTATAACGTCCATGTCACACATATGCCGGTAGTTGTTGCGAGCACTAAGCTCGAAGTGACGAGTATGTTTACCTGGGACAAATCTGCGTACTAGATAAGTCCGACTTCGACTAAAAGGTTAATCGACGGATTCAACTCATCTGAGCAGCGTTCGGAAAATTACGGCACATCTTTTCGTTAGGTATATCTCAAAACTTGTAAACGAAACTGTACAACTACTGCGTGTTGCCAGTGATGACATTGCTGGCCGGATGAGGAAGTTCAAGGTGAGTGACTTATTAGCGAGCTATGGAGAGGGATATGCTCGGAGTTTCTCTGCGTGATAAACCTAGAAATGAGGATATCCGTATTAGAATCAGAGTGACCGACATAGCCCAAGGTATAAGTAAGCTGAAGTGGCAATGGGCCGGCCATATAGTTCGAAGAACTGACAACCGATGCGGAAAATATTGTCGAGTGGCGGCCTCGTACCGGCGGACGAAGTGAGAGCATCCCCCCACTAGATTGAGTGACCACCTGCTAAGACATACAGGAAGTTGGTGGATGCAGTTGGCTCGGGACCGTGTTTTGTGCCATTCCTTAGTCCCCTATGTTCAGCAGTGGACTTGTGAACGGCTGTAATGTTGAATCACGTGATTCCAATGATTCCATCACGTGTTGGCCCACTATATACAAGACAATAATATCCATTTTTAGCGCGAGAACCACACGTCACCTGGACTCAAATCAGGTGATGTCGCGTGCTCAAACATCAATGTCGGGGCGGTGGTCTTGGAACCAAGGAACCACTCCTCGTTGTCGTGGTCATTGGCAAAGTAGTTAAGCGGAACCGTCGGAACTTCGCTGCCGCCTGGCTAGACTATAAAAAGGCATTCGACTCGGTGCCTCATACATACGAGAGGGTTCTCGAGCGGTACAAGGTTGACTGTACAGTCAGAGCCTTCCTCGATTCGTGTATAAGTGAGTGGAGTAAAATCCTTTGTCATATAGGCGAGCTAATGACGAGTGCGGAAAGCCGTATAAGGATAGGAAGGGGTAACTTCCAGGGCAATTTCCAGGTTTTCATCCGGTTCAATCAGCTGGTGATTCTCTGGTCTACCTGACTCATAGATGAGTGGAGGCAATAGAATCCAAGGGAGAGAAATTGGCTGTTATGAATATGAATTGATCATAGCGTAAGCCTTCGATGGGATCTGGCATAAAGCGCTTCTTTCGAAACTCCTTTCCTATGGGCATCTCGAGAAATTGTGCAATTGAATCACCAGATTAATTAAACTAAAATCTAAGAATTTAATTAAAATTAAAGTTTAAAACTTTACTTTTAATGAAACTAAAATCATCTCAGATTTTATAATTTCTGATAAATGTTACTATTTTCTAATTAATTTATTTACGGTTAAAATTAAATGAATTAACGTGTTTAAATCATTACATACAACTTTTTTTAGAATAGAGATAATTATTTATATTATTTAATTTATTAGTAAATAAAGGAAAAATATACTACTTTTCTATTGTATGATAATTAATGGTATGATAATGATAATTTTTTGCTTTCTTTTTAAATATGGTATTTATTTTAAAAACACTACGTTACTCCGCTTATAACACAATCATTTACAATAGAAGTTAACATTCAAAGATAGGAAAACACTTAAAACCCCTTTTTTGAATTTCCATAATCGGATAAAAGGTAGCCTATAAGTTGCCCTGGATCCCTAACTATCTACAAACATAATTTTGTGGAAGTCCGTACAGTGCTTTTTGCGTTAATCGTGAAATAGAGACTGACAACTAACAAAATTTCTAAAAACCAGTAATTTGGCTTCAACCCTTTCTTGTTTTTACCAGGAAATATTAGAATTACTAACACGATTTGTCTACAGATTTATTATTTATGTATAAATAACTCATGACATATAAGGTTTCATTTGAAATATGTAAAAGAAACGTGATTGTGACAATTTTATTAACAGAAATACATAAATAGTTACAATAAAGTATACACAAAGTAAATATCAATTTTGATTTAAAAACATCCACACGTAATTTTTTTTTGTTTTCATCGGCATTATACTAATTGCAAAACTAAAAAAAAATAAACAAAGATAAAAATTAAACTTGATCCACCTAAAGTTATTTTCCATTCTTTACTATCTTCCTTTATATTTAGAACCGGCTATGGCCTGTAAAGTGAAGAATTGTTTTAATGCACTAAATATCTTCGCGTAATACTTGGCGGAGTTGAGTGACGTATCAGATTTAATTTTTCTGCATCTTATTTTTCGGCCGCCTGAAATACGCAAGTTCCTTTGCTTACATAAAACAAAAACAAATAAAAATACAGGTGTCTATGCAAAGGCTCGATATTTACATGTTCTTACCATCTCGTATCTCATTTCTTCGTTAATGCGCTCGTACAGATCCGCTGGTATATCATTCTCTGTAACGTCTTGGAGAACATACTTCAGCTGTGATGTTCTATGATCAAAATTAAAAACAAATTTTAAAAGCTATATATTTTTAAATAAACAGTAAGATCGGTATGCTATTTTGCCTTAATGCTCATAGAATTAACAAACGTTGAAGAAAAACAACTTAAATAAAAATGGTATAATAATTTACCATTACAGCCCGTCAAAGTGTTCCCTATAGACATAGGCGTTTCCCATAGATTATTGACGTGACAACGTCTTATAATTCGATGAAGCTGGCTGCACGCACAAAAAAACATGACTCATGCGGCGTTACCTCGCTCTGAGGCGTTCCATTTAAGCCTTGAAGAGCGCGGAACGAGCGACAAAGAGGCACAATAGGCGTTGTCACGTTCAACTATCGTCAGTAAACCGACTTTACAGACAACCGATTATTTCATACGGGGGATATTTGCCACAGTTGCTACGCTTATCAAGCGTGTTGTCAACTACAGTTTTTTTTTTAATTCAGCTGTTATCAGAGTCATAAAATTATTATGGTGCTTAAATATTATCTTTTATTACGTTAATACAGGGTTACTGGGAACTCGACAACTTATTGGCAAGGCGTGATACAGTGAAAATGCTACAAATTTGTCCCCCATATGTATGGCCGAAAATGAACAAATGAAATGAATGTCTTGAGATATACGGATTTTGAAAATTTTTCAATAATCACCCAGAAATTCGTATTACATTCTAAATAAAAATAAAACCTTTTTTCGTATGCTCTCCTTAAAATTTATTTATTTTCTTAACGCTTCAACCAAGCGTGTACAATCATAAAAAGTACAAAAAGTATTCACAATAAAAAGTAATGGGACTTAATATTTTTTTTTATTTTTTTACACATTGTATCATAAAATGTTACGTACTTTAAAAAATCACTATGACATGAGACACAAAACATTTTATAAATCATTCCCATTTAATCTGCTATCTAAAAAGGTAATAATATCCTGATGAAGACATTTATTCATAACAGACAGCTGTTAATTAAACAAATTTGAGTAATTTCTAAACTTAAACAATTTCTTTTACTAAATTTATTAAAGATTAAACATCTTGCTCAATTAGAGTGAAAGAAAGAAAGAAAGAAGAAATAAAGAAAGACATTTATTCACTAGAACTGTACACATCACAAAAATAAAAAGTTAAAAGTATGATAGATTAAAATAACAAGAGTGTATCGAGCCAGTGAAAAGGTTATGACTCAGCGTAATGCTGCAGGGTGGGATTTAAAATTGTACTTTGAATTAGACTCACGAATAGGTGGAGGAATTTTAAATAAAACTAATTTTACGGATTTTATCGCGTATATTAATCTACTTTAATATTCCCGACGTTTCGGGTGCTTTCCAGCACCCGTGGTCACGGGGGACTGAGGTGTTTGACGTCCTGCTGTCATAGTTAGCCCGGCTACCTTCAGTTTTTTAATATTAATTTTTGGTCCGATTTACGCAGAATGAGCTTACAGTACCTTGAAGTCTAGCAGTGGTATACTTGGGTTTGGATTTGATTTTATTAATTATGGGATCCCAAGCAGATGGCAGCACCCATCTATCTTCTCTATTGAAATTAGGATGTTTTTTAATTTCAATAGCCTCGCGAATCATCCTTGGGAGGAATCGGTGTTCTTTTGCGAGGATTTGTGGTCTATCAAATCTAATGTAATGGCGGGGACGATTGTCGTGAAGCGACAATTAAAAAAAAAATAGAAAAATAGAACCTAACCTAAGTACAACAAAACAACAAAGGTAGAGCCAGAAAACAATATATTTAAATTTATAAAAGGTATTTACAATTTTATAAAAAAATGGAATGAGGATGATGATGAATGAAGTGAGAATACAATTAGATTATAAAAAAAATAAAGGTGAGAGAATAGGGGAATATAGCGTTGAAGTGGGGCCTAAAAGTCGAAGCGACACACGTTGCGTTTGTAGAAGTAGGTTTCTTAGCAGCGACGGCACGCAGCGCCTGAAGCCAGCACACGCCGTTTGCGCTTGTAGAAGTAGGTTTCTTAGCAGCGACGGCGCGCAGCGCCTGGAGCCAGTACACGCAGCGTCCGGAGCCGGCGCACGTAGCGCCTGGAGAAGGGGCGCGCAACGCTTAGAGCCAGCAGTTGCAGCGCCCAAAGGTAGCACCGGCGGTAGGTGCACTCGGCGCCTGGAGTAAGTAGTAGTAGTGCCCGGAGTAGTGTGGCCCCCGCGCTTGTAGTAGACTCGAAGCGACTTCCGAGGTAGATGGAGGCTTGTAGGATTCCGGAGTGGCGCGGCCCGAGTTTGAAGAAGGCTTCGCCGAAGACTTCACGTGTAAATGGAGGCTTGCAGGATCCCGGGGCAGTGCGGCCCCGGGATAAGGCCTTTAGGAGATACTTCTAATTCGCGAACTGAAGCGAGACTGTCTTTCTTCACCGGTTGTTCGGCTTTTATACCTTTCTAGAGAGAACGGAAAAATTATTTAAATTATACGCAAATTTTTTGTAAATGGTCAAGAGAAAAGAGGATTTATGTGGAATTATCGAAATAGGAATAATAGATCGGTAGCAAATTTGAATATAGTTACCATGGAAACGATATAAATAAGAAAGACAAAATATGTCAAATTTTTGTTTTTGGTTTATAATAAGAAAACGGTAAGATTTAAGTGGAAAATGAGATATTATTGATATAGGAAAAAAGGTAGCGCAACTGCCCACACAAAGTCCAAGATTGTAGAGTTACGGAAAACTAGCTAAAAGATCAAAAAAAGGTAGACTCCATTGACACCAATTTAAAAGTGCTGATAATGTGAAAATACGAAGTAGAAATGATTTGTTATTGTGTTCTTATGGTTTAAAATCGTTACAGGATCCTATGGAAATAAAGGTGATGTAAAATATCCAGTTTTGAGGTGAATGCAGAAAATCGAAACGGAATGGAAAAATGAATTTAAAATAATGTAAAATGATACGTAAGTAGTATAATACTACACGATCTTGAACATGTTCACAAACTGCAGACTTCCCGATACGTCGGTGCTTCACGTCAGCTATATGTTCTTTAACGCGGGTTTTAATAGATCTTTTTGTTTGTCCTATGTACGAGAGACCACATTGACAATCCAGCTTGTACACTCCTGCATCTTGTAGAGGGATATGACACTTGACGGATGGTAAAAATTGACCAATCTTCTTCAGCGGCTTGAAGTGTATTTTAATGGAAGCTCGCTTCAAGATGTAGCCAACCTTGTCTGTGACTCCTCTGACATAGGGTAGTACAGCAGGCACACGCTCGACTGTGGCTGGCTTCACTCGGTCACTGTGACGTAGGCGCGGAAACCGGAGCTTGTTGTCTTGCAGTACTTGCTCGACGTGCTGAAGCTCGGCGGCCAGATGTTTTCTGTCACAGATCCCTCGTGCTCTCTGAAACAAAGATTTTCCCACGGTAGCTAACTGTGAAGGATGATGGTGAGATTCACCATTTAGATATCGGTTGGTATGGGTATTTAAACCAATATCTAAATGGTGAATCTCACCATCATCCTTCACAGTTAGCTACCGTGGGAAAATCTTTGTTTCAGAGAGCACGAGGGATCTGTGACAGAAAACATCTGGCCGCCGAGCTTCAGCACGTCGAGCAAGTACTGCAAGACAACAAGCTTCGGGTCCCGCGCCTACGTCACAGTGACCGAGTGAAGCCAGCCACAGTCGAGCGTGTGCCTGCTATACTACCCTATGTCAGAGGAGTCACAGACAAGGTTGGCTACATCTTGAAGCGAGCTTCCATTAAAACATACTTCAAGCCGCTGAAGAAGATTGGTCAATTTTTACCATCCGTCAAGTGTCATATCCCTCTACAAGATGCAGGAGTGTACAAGCTGGATTGTGAATGTGGTCTCTCGTACATAGGACAAACAAAAAGATCTATTAAAACCCGCGTTAAAGAACATATAGCTGACGTGAAGCACCGACGTATCGGGAAGTCTGCAGTTTGTGATCATATCTACGATGGCTCCCGCCATTACATTAGATTTGATAGACCACAAATCCTCGCAAAAGAACACCGATTCCTCCCAAGGATGATTCGAGAGGCTATTGAAATTAAAAAAAACATCCTAATTTCAATAGAGAAGATGGATGGGTGCTGCCATCTGCTTGGGATCCCATAATTAATAAAATCAAATCCAAACCCAAGTATACCACTTCTAGACTTCAAGATACTGTAAGCTCATTCTGCGTAAATCGGACCAAAAATTAATATTAAAAAACTGAAGGTAGCCGGGCTAACTATGACAGCAGGACGTCAAACACCTCAGTCCCCCGTGACCACGGGTGCTGGAAAGCACCCGAAACGTCGGGAATATAAAAGTAGATTAATATACGCGATAAAATCCGTAAAATTAGTTTTATTTAAAATGTGTAATGTTCGCGTAAATATAAGAAATCATTAGGTGGAGGAATGTCGTTCCAGCACCTTGTAGCTATATATTTACTACCTCTGAAAGCTGCAGAACAGTAAGTGGGATTGGCAAGCGGGTTCGTACAAGACCTAATAATGTTTTGTCTATTTCTCCATATAAGTTTCTCATATAAATATAGGGGTGACTTAGTTTTGACAACATCAAATAGAAGATTAGCGAGGTATAGTTTCTGTCGCGCTTTCATTTTCAAAATACCTGCTTCATTGAAAAAAGTTGTTACATGGGACCGTTTTGGTATTGAGAAGCAGTATTGTGCACATACATTTTGTATACGTTGAATTAGACGTTGTGACTTTTCCAAAATATAGGGTCCATACACTGTAATACAGTGGTTTAATTTTGAAAGAACAAGAGATTCACAAAGTCTAATTCTTAAGTCCAACTGAATGCATTCGCGGATTCTATTTAATACCTTTAACCTATAAAAGCAGTTGCGGACAAGCTCGAGTACATGTTTTTCAAAACGCAGTCTGCTATCCATAACTAAACCGAGGTTACGAGCTTCACCTACACGCTCCAGAGGGATGTTTAACAACATGATTTTAGGGTTTTGATTTTCTAAAAATTTAATTTGGTTTTTTGATCCTAAAAGCATATACTTAGTTTAAGCGGGTTTAAAATGAGGGAATTTTTCTGTGCCCATATTGCAATTCGATTCAGGTCCTCATTGATGTTACTAATTGTGGAATGAAATTCAAGTGAATTGCAGGATAATGATATATGCTGATGAGGTATTCAAAGATATCCCTGTAGATCATCAGCATATAGGTGGTATTTGCATAAGTGCATGCATTTAGTTATATCAGCAGTGTAAATTACAAATAACAATGGTCCTAAGATAGAACCCTGTGTAACACCTCTATTAAGTGGTCGTTGTTTAGAAACAAGGGAAGACCCATTTGGTTGATTTAATATTACTTGTTGTGAACGGCCGCATAAGTAACTTTGAAACCATTTTATGGAAGATGTTACAAAACCATAAAACGATAGCTTAGATAGCAGCAAATCTATGTTAATAGAATCAAATGCTCTTGAAAAATCGTACCTCTACCAGAGTCTTGAGATGTAAGAATATTGTCAACCACATCAAGTAAAGCAGTAGACGTGGTTCTACCTTTTCTAAAACCTGATTGTAAGTCAGGAAAAATATTTGAAAATTTTTTCTAAAACTTTTGAAAGAAAGGGTAGTATACTTATTGGCCTTAATTCTTTGAGATCCTTAGTATCATTGTTTTTAGGTAAAGGACGTATTGTTAGCCTCACAAAACTTGATGACTTGATTATAAATAACTTTTTCTAAAATTTTGAAAGAAAGGGTAGTATACTTATTGGCCTTAATTCTTTGAGATCCTTAGGATCATTGTTTTTAGGTAAAGGACGTACGAGAGCTATTTTCCACGAAGAAGGAAAAGTAGATGTTTCAATTTATTTATTTATGATTGCTGTAATGACTTTTAACGTAGCCGGAAGTGTTAAGATGATCATATCCCTACTCAACTTATCAATACCGTAAGAATTTGATTTTATTGATAATATAATCCTTGCAACATATTCTCCACTTACATTATGAAATTTAAATTCATTACACCCATATCGATGAAACTCATATTGAGTTAAATCAGAAATGGTTAAATTATCATTCCCGGGAACATTAAGAAAATGGCTATTGATTATATTTGGGTCGTCGAAAAACACAGGAAGCGTTGTCAATTGCTTAATGTTAGGAAGGTCGAACCGTTTCAAGTTCTTCCACCATAATTTCGGACGGTTTAAGTTATTATTAATTTAATTATTAAAATATGCTTTTTTCTCCCAGTATATGCTAATGTTTGCCAAATGTTTCAAAGATTTGTATTGAATTTTATCGCTATCCAAATTAGTCTTCTTAAACTTTGCATGGCTTTTATTCCGAAGTTTCATGATGTACCGAACATTGCTAGTTAACCACGGTGAATTTGGATCACGTACTGCTATGGACTTTTCAGGTGCATGGATTTTAAATATATTTAGTAACAAATAAGTGAAAGTTGATACCATTTCATTAACGTAATCCATTTTAATTACACTTTCCCAATGTACTGAGGCAATCATGTTATCAAAGTGAATTAAATTGATTTCTTTTATAGGTCTATAATTAATACATTTTAAATGAGGTTTGGGTTTAATTATTTTAAGGGTTGCCAGAACCATTGCATTTGCTCCAAGATCATTCACATGGTTAACTTGTATGCCCTTGACTTCAGCATCAATACAGACGAGGTCTATTAACGTCTCGCTGTGAGATGTTAAATGTGTGGGTTCCTTAACATAGTTTATAAGACTAGTATAATGAAGAAATTGTTAAAGTCTCAAAGTCATATTATCGTTTTCATTAAGAACATTTATATTAAAATCACCCAATAACACCACTTTGTCATAACACGAAAATGTTGCTAATGAATCAGTGAGAGCGTCGAAGAAAGTATCAACATTTACCCATTGGGGTCTGTAGGCTGTGCCTATTAAAATTCTAGTCGAGTTGATGACAAGTGATAGCCACATTTGTTCAACGTCACCAATCGAAGAAGGATGCGATGAGCAAAGTGAAACCGAGGTCTCACCCCAACCGCGATGAACTACAAAAGCGCAAGGGAAAGGGATGACTTTAGTTACCAATAAAAATATGTGCATAAATCTGAATAGGTATGTAAAATATGAATCCTCAAAATAGTTCTCAATAAAAAAATCGGTTTAGTAAAATAAATAAGTAATATATTCACGGGATTCATGCGGCATATCCATGTTAAGATAATGGTCACTAAATCCTGGGAATAGCACTAACTACGCCCAATCACTAGTTATGAGAAATTAACATTTATGTAAGATAAGCGGTTGATGGATATTTACAGGTAACGTGACGTAAGGCAAATCCTCTAACAACGGGAGAAGCTCATATCCAGCAGTAGACTTACACGGCCTGATAAAAAAAAGATATATCATTCACTTACTGTATGTAAATAAGCATATACGCGCTTGTTGCACGTCTTGCTAAATATGGTGCATCTTCCTTTCCACCAAAATTGTACTCGATGGCTTCTTTTTTTCTACAGCGTGATACTACATCGTCATCAAATTTACACCACTGTAATCATATTTTACATAAAAAAGTCACTTTTTTTTAAATTAAGCTCATTTTGTAATAAAGTAGCGGAAAATAGTTCGTTACCTTTCCATCGCCTTTGGGATTGATAAACACTACATAATGACCTCCATGGTTGTCACCTGAATGAACCAAAACCGCATGTAACGTATAATGTGCTGGTATTTGCGGTATCTCCTGAAGATATGGATCCAGGTTGATCTCTTCATAAAATTCAAACCTATTGCAATATGAATTTTATTTAAATTTGCTTAGCATGTTACACTACGAGTATACATTTCAACTTTCACAGTGTGAAATTAAGAATCTGAATTAACTACAATATTTCATGGAACACGAATTTTTCTCCACTTCGAATCAATTATTAAAAGTATTCTTATTAAAATACATACCACTGCCAAATAAGATTCTACGATAACAAATATTATCACGTGTAAAGAACATAATCGAAGAAATAATAAAAAATAACCTGTCGTTAAATTTGACAGACGCATCGCTTTGTGGGTCGTATTGAAACCTCATAAGGTGCAGATGCAGTACAGGAGGAAACTCGTCAAATCGCACTCCTTTCTCAGCTTCCTGCAACCCGTGCTCCCCAGCATCATATTTATTCTCACCATCTAATGTTTCCGTACTTATATAGTCTTTAAATGACTCGTAAACTAAAAAACGAATTAGTACAAAATAAAACAAAACAATTACACCGTGTGGTAAACACACCATGGGTGAGGGCTACTAAAATTTTAAGAAAGAAATATCCGTGTGAGATTCCATTACGAATTGGAGGAAAGCCTGTCCTATATTTTAACTAGCTTAGACGGCAAGCAACCATAACGATGTTGATTATAAAGATATATTTAAATAATTAAATTTTACAACGATAAAAAAAATTAAAATTTGTGAGACAATCTGCAGAAGGGTGAAACATAAAATAAAAGTCAAGTGTATTTTTTAAATAACTGCAGGGTTAAATGAGATTCCCCCGTTCACAGAATAAATTATGGAAGAAACTCTGCAGGTATAAATTTTTTATTTTTAACAGTTAAAATTCAACAAAAAACCTTAAAAAGTTGGGCATACAATCAAGTCCGAAGTCCTGTTTCATTATCTTTAGTCGCCTTTTATGACTGCAGTGGGATGATATGGGGGATAACTCTTGCGCTGCCACTACATGATGGAATTTTTATATTACGAAAATGAAACAAAATTAATTAAATGTCTATAGTGCAACCATTTTCAGATATACAATCAAGAAAAAGAAGAACATTTTACATTATACACTTACTGTTGTTTTTTCCTTTAACGCTTAATTGAATATCATAAAATGTTTCTACTCGAGTGCTACTGCAATTTACATTTTTGCATTTAATAAAAGATGTCATCTTCCCTTCAAAAAGCTTTGGAACTGTTCCTTCCACTAAAGTACCCTTCATTTTATTTTCTAGCTTATCTAATAAAACCTGAAAAAGAATATTGTCAGTATTTAAAAGCTTTTAGAAAAATTTACTTCGCAAATATCCGCGTTATGAAATAAATTGATGTGTCTTACCTAGTATGAAGAGCACCTCCCGCCCACCCTCAATTGCGTGCACTATCCCCATCACAACTAATCCCAGCAACGCTACTCTGAACACCACTACACTAGACAAGACACACCACTGACGACAATACGACACGTGTTTCGCCTTTACACGAGGCATCCTCAGGTGATATAGACTCTACGGTGGCTAACCGCTAAGTGAGCGGCGAGCCAAAACAACTGCCTTTTATACAGAACAATGACGCAACCGCTCTCTAGCTAGGTAAGACACATCATTTTATTTTATAACGAGGATATTTGCGAAGTAAATTTTTCTAAAAGCTTTTATATAATGGATTTCCGCAAAGTAACGCCTGATTCTATTAATTATATTGTCAGTATTGTTTATATTTTATAACAAAATAATAGACATATAGGAACTTACTCGTAAAAATTCTTGGACATCATGTTGCATAAAAGAATCTAATGTCTCCCAGCCGAAACTCTTCGTAAGTTTTTTTGTTGCAACTGGTTTTTCGGAAAATTGGAGATCAAAGAAAACGCGTTGAAGTGCAAAGGCGACAGATCTCGAACTATCATCTCCTACAGTGGGAATTTTGTAGACCGCCTTTCGTAAAACATTAGTAAAGAAGAGGGTTTGTAAAAGGGAGTTCATGTAACATGTTGCTCCTTGATTTTTTAGGCCTTAAACAAAAAGGTATTTATTACTTCTAGGTTCATACTAATTTTCTAGGTTATATATATGATTTTTTTCTTAGTTACCAACGTATCCAGTATGTTTTTTAGAATCCCAAGAAACACCATGAGGCGCCTCTGCAACAACATGCACTTCAATTGTTATTGAATCGTCTTTTACAAAACCATTCTCAGAGTCCATCAGATCGGTCCAAGAAATAAAATGTGCGAAACCCCAATCATCTTCTTTACTGCATAAAAATGTCTAAGTTATCAATTCTATTCACTATATTTCAGAAAAACGTCAATATTACTTTATATTTTGTATGAATATCATTTTACTATACCTGTGATACATGTGGTGAATTTTTCTACACAGATGCTCACCGTCAGGTTTATAAGATAAAAGTTTTATTTCACCCAATCCGTAACATGACCAACCCGGTGAATCGCAATCACCATTACATTGAATGAAAACTCCAAGAGCTTTTTGTTGCTGACGATCAGGAGTTGTTGTGTTACGGATAAGAACAAGAATTTTCCATGGTAGACACCTAATGTAACATGGCGGTGATAGAACCTGTTCTTTCAACTGGCTTATATTTTGAACGGTAAATCGAAATGCTGCTTCAGGCCGGGCAATATCATCGTCTTCATTTGTTACTTCCTAAAGTATATTTATATTAATTTTGGATATAACTAATACATGAACAAAGTAAAAATTATTTCTTCTAATTGTTTGTAGCAGCTTAATCAATTTAACTAGAGTTAAAAAAAGTACTGTAAGAAATTTTTACTAATATGACAGATAAATTGATAAATCTTATTTATTGATAATTTAGGTGAAATTGATAATATAATAATTGGAAGAGTATTATTATCCAGTAAATATAAATCTTAAAAACATTGCGTTTACTGTTCTTACCGTAGTCATCGGAAGTAAATTGGATGTTGTATTAGCGGTACTTCCAGTTTCAATCATTGTAGTAGCAAAATTATTGCTTGTAAATTTGACAATAAATCATTTATCAAACAAATTCTTGTAAACTTCTCAAACAAAAAGTTTGACGTTGTACTTAATACGCTGTTGTAATGCTTTATTTAAAAGCAAATTAATATTATGATTATGTAGTTATTGTTATAAGATTTGTTTTAATATAAAGTACATTATGTTTGTTATCAAATTAAAACACAAATTTTGTAAGGTTTGGGCCGATGACATGTGTCACTTTATGAATTTTAAGGTAAAACTACTTTTCGAATTTTAAAGGGAAGAATAAGGTTTTATTATTAAAAACTAGCTCGTTCTTATCATATTATGTAAATACCCAGAGCAGTGACAGGGGACAGCGTCAAAGGAGCGTTAGGGAAAAAAGTCAAAAGCGTACTGTGATCGTCCATCTACCTGCCAAGTGTGACGATTCAGACAGATCCTCTCTACAATAAGAGAGGCCTAAGGCTGATTAAGGAGCGCGAATTGCGGGACAAACTTGTGCGTATGGATTTTTCACCACTTGTGATTTTTTTAATTCTTAAAGTTTTGTTAGCAGAGTTAGTCGTTAGTCGAGTCCAAAGACATTTAAGTAGTAGTAGTAATAAACCGGACATCAGTAGCAAAATTGTCGTCTGGAACTTAAATCCTATAGGATATATCTCCTTTTTTTTGTCATTTAGTCTTAGTGACATCGTCAAAAAGTCAAGACGCACTCGTTTCATATATTTAAAAAATATTTTTAAAGAAAATATGCCCGGTTGTGCATTAAGATAATGTAAGTCACGATATGGAGCAAAAATGAACGTGATTACGGTTTATTATCGTAAGTATGACATATATTTACCGAATAATCTTAAAATGTTATTATTTTTAGTAGATTGTTCTAGAAAATTTATTATTATTGTAATAAGCGTCCTCTATTATCCAGTAAGCGTCACTATTTAGTTACCAATTTTAGAGTTAGCGATTGACGTCGTTTATCGATTGGGATTATCGATAAAAAAATAACACAACAGTCAACGATACTGTACTCATACCAACAAAAATAAGTAGCATATACCAACTATGCTATGTACCCTACTTTATGTGGAGCAAGGGTAGAAAGTTTTTTTAGGCATGCTTATGAGCTTTATGAGCATGCTCAGGATACTTACTGTGTTGATGTTTAGCAATACAGCAAATCTTCTCTTTTACATACCAGGCTTCATTGTCTAGTGGTTTTACACCAGGCTTCATTGTCTGGTGGTTTTCAAGGACATAACCATTATAGATCCTCGCTTACAGTGATAGGAGAGGGCAATAGATTTCTTACATTAAAACCATTCGTACTGTTAAAGATATTAGATGCAAGAAGTTTAAGGTTAAGCATGAGTTAGAAAATAAGGTAAAAACTTAAAATAACAATTTTTATTGATGTGGGTAGTGTCTTTAAGTACTGCAGCTGATGAAACGTGAAACATCGTGAAACTTTCAGTGTTTTCCTAAAATATTTAAGATTTGATACACTTCAATTTTTTTGTAATAGAAAAGAATTTAAAAACATAGAGGCGCTCTCTTATTGGATTTGACGTTTCTCGATGGTGTAATCTTCAACGACATTATTGATACTTTGATATCGAAACGGTATATTTCTAAAATGAGGTTATATTTATTAGCGTCACCTACTGGGGAGTAGCTAAAATGTTGTCTTAATAAATGCTTAGCGTTGATTTGCTATTTTTAGCTAGAGGGTGCCACACTCGCACTAGCTCAAAGTTTTTGTATATAAATGTTCCCAATGTCCGCTCTATAGTATACCTATATATTTTAATCTCTTTGGTAGAGTCAAATTACACCCATTTTCAAGTAGTAGTTTCAAATCCTAGAGTGATAATAAACCACTATAATTTTAATATATATATATATATATTTTAAACCGAATATATTTTAATTTATCGTTATAAATTTTTGCCCGAAAACGCTAGTCGCCATGCTGTTCAGCTCGTGATGTCACTGCTCTAGTAAATAAACGATTTTGCAAAGAAATAATATATTATTGGATGTTTAATAATGAGTTATAATCTTTATTATTTGTGTATTGTGCCTGAATGCAAAATTTCGAGCATAAGAACGACGGAGAAGTTATAGATTCAAGTGCCAACTGATTTTAGAGATTCATTATGAGAAATACTTGGTAAAAACTGGCATGACGCGACCAGAAGACAATTTCTTCTAAAACTAGACTATACTTCTGTAAAGACCACTTTGATGTAAGTACGACTTATATTTAACAATGATTTCTACAAAACAAAACATCATAGGGTGATAGGTATTGCAAGTCAAATTTTGTAATAGATTACGTTAGCTTATACTCTATTCCAATTACGAAGTCCCTTTTGACACTTCTTAGAACGTAACTCTTCACGTTTCGCATAATTTGAAATAATAATCATTTTTGTTCATGATCGTAAATCATCATTTAAAAATACACAATCAATCTAAATCATTATACAATTAATTCACACACACACACAATCAGCATATTGTTTTAAGACATCGTGCTCAAAATAATTAAAACTTTAAAAGATAATAATATTTTACTGCCGCTTTGCGTTTACGTTCTATAGTTTTATTTTTGTTTTTTTACATAGTGACGTGTCTAAAAGAATCGTATAAAATCGATTATAGACAGATTCTTTTCTCGAGTAAAAATCTGTCAACTCTGCGTCCACCTCGTGATCACGACCGCCATTTTGTTTGTCTCTTCAGTACGAGTGCAGAAGCCTTGTATACGATACGCGTGTTCAGTTTAGTTGATTTTGTGTTGTGTTTTTTTTTTCGTTCTTGTTATTTTAGTTATAACTGTTTGATAATTCTTTCGTTGTTATTAAGTTTTGACTGTTATTTTATTTGTTTTTTTTTTGTATTTATAAATACTATGGCCGAAACTGAGACCACTAAAAGAACAGCGATGCGCAGTCAAGCGCGAGAGCTTGTAGTACGCCTACAAGATTACTTTGAAAGAGAGTATCAGAATGGTGGTCCATTGTTGCCACTTTCACAAGTGACTAACCGAGTAAGTGCAGCTCTTGGTATTAATCGAAAAACTGTTTCCCGAATAAGTAAGGAAAAACATGGTAAAGATTTAATGGAAGATAACAAATTAAAATTGGCACTTAAGAAAAAAGTAAGAAGATCGATAGTTACACATATCGACAATTTTGATAACGACGCCATTAGAAACCATATCTATGGCTACTATAGTAGGAACGAATTGGCGACTCTCGATAAATTGTCAAATACTTTACGAGAATCTGGACTGTTTCACAGCAGTAGAACTTCTTTCTGGAGGGTTTTAAAAAATGTTGGCTTTTCTTATAAAAAATGTGATAAAAGGCGGATTTTGATGGAACGTAGAGATATAGCTTTAGCCAGATTTAATTTTCTAAGATCAGCAAAGTCCATTGCCGTTTGGAATAATGTTATATTTCTAGATGAGACGATGCTAAACGCTAATCATACGGTTGGCAAGATATGGACAGACGACACTCCTCACTCATCCACAAAAGTACCTAGTGGCAAAGACGAACGCTTAATTATTTGTCATGCGGGTTCCATGAAGGGATTTGTTCCGAACTGCCTCTTGGCGTTTAAATCTAAGAAAACTGTGGAACACCACGAAGAGATGAATTTTGTTAAATTTAAGGAATGGTTTTGTACCTTATTGACCAACTTAAATGAGCCATCGACGATCATTATGGATAATGCACCGTATCATTCAGTACAAATAAGTAAGCCTCTAACTTCTAGCAGCAAAAAATCCGATATTGTGTAAATATAATATTGTTGTTGACATGTCCATGTCAAAAGTTGAGCTGCTGCATTTGGTTGCTATAAATAAGCCAGCTAGACCAAAATACTTATTGGACGAAATGGCTAAGTAAGCCGGACACAATGTAATGCGCCTTTCACCCTACCATTGTCAATACAATGCCATAGAATTGAAA